CATCAATCTAAATGAGCATTATCCCTGCTTCGGACAAATTTGATTTTTTTACATAATATAGATTTGAATGTCTTCTTTTGAATAGTCATAATTTAATTTGGGTAATATTTCTAGATTTTTCTCAAAAAAAATATTAGCGCAGTACACTGATGAACTTCTTTCCCCAAATCGAGACTTGTATTTTATTGAATCGATCAAATCGAGCATTATCCCTGCTTCAGACCAATTTGTTATTTTTACATCTTGTAGATCTAAATGTCCTCTTTTGAATATTCATAGTTTAATTTGGGTAATATTTCTATATTTTTCATTAAAAAAATTATTAGCCCAGGAGACTGTTCTCCAAACCGAGAATCGTCCTTTGCAATATTTCAACAATTTTCACATGTGCTTTTATGCTCATATTGACCCGCCAAAGATAACAAACAGACCAAGCAAGCATATACAAACAAACAAACAAACAAACAAACAGATAAATGGCAAACAAACGAATAAACAAACCAAAAATAATTATTTGTTGCCAAAATGAAGTGTGGCGGAGACGTAAAACACAAACATCTACATGCATGCTAGGTTAATGATCATGAGAGATTAACATTTCAGGAAAAGCGTTTAGTTTGACACAACGAAACGTGTCTACAGGGCACTTATTTGGAAACAAAACATGAGATCAAATTATCCGCCCATTTGCAAGGCTGTGTGTATAATCTTAGAAATAATCCAGTATGATATCACTGCACGCTTTTGATGCACGAGAATTCACTACATAGAAATCGGAGATAATGGTGTACCCCGAAGGAGGTACGAGTTCGGAAGATGCATCTCCCTCCCCTACTCCACGACGAAATTTGGAATATTGTACTTTTTAAGCCCCATGGGATCTAGGGTAACTTAAGCTTGCAAAACATAATGAATTTTAAACTTATCAAATTCGCGAATTTTAACGGTGAAATTGTGATTTTTCAGAATTTGCGAAATTTATTAACGTCGAAATATACAAAGAGTACCGTATTCATATTCGAGATAATTGATGCCGAGCTCGAGACCTCCCCCTAATTTCAGTAATTTTCTGCACGTAGACCAGCTACTAGTCTATTTTTGTTGTTTTATAGAAAATCAAGATCTAACCCAGAATCGAGTTTAACATAGCTCAAAACTAATTCTTCAAGATAAGCGTAAATGTACCCTCCTACACAAGGACTGATACCGGAAAAAAGGTGCAAAGTATGATAAACGAACCAATACGACTATTCAAAGGCAGAATCAGATCAACAGGATAGGGAATTTCAAGCAAAATGTACCATTGACCTAGCATTATATTACTTAAGATTCCTAGTGCAAAAATGAGGAAAAATGTTAAAAATCTCTCAAATAATGAAAAATGAAACCATTATTGTAAAAATCTCTAGTTTTCCTTAAATAAAGTACATACTTTGGGTATTTTTAGAAAATTGACATGGCAAGGAATGATATAAGCCAAAAATATTTTTAAGTCGAAACAATTTTTTAAAAAGTCGATCGCTAACAGCAATGTCGCAGAGCTAGGCACCAGACAGAACGTATGCTTCCAATTAGTGTAAACAAATGACTAAAATATTTGTAATTTATATGTCATTGTAGACCATACCTTGATTTATTTGTTTATCTCCTAATAATAGAGAGTTATAATGATCACGTGATTAATCTCCAAACTTTATGTAATTTTTATACTTTCTTAACTCACAAATTATAAATACAACTGCGGCAGAATGACAATGCAGTGACGAGTGTTAATAGAATACTTATCATATTTTTGCTGTTTTAAAAAATGCACTTGGCTTTAATACTCCTTGTATCAAATTTTAAAAGGTTGTTGCCTTTTTAGATTAAACTATTTTAGCTAAAAAATGATTCGATATTTTAAGTTGCATCAAAGACTGAATTATAATTATTAATGACGTACGGAAGTTCTTGACACTGTGACAAATATAGTGTAACCTGGTTATCAGAAACGTGTATTTCTATATATATAAATACGAGTAAATATGCACGTGTTTATCTATATATATACATTGTATGGCCATTCTTATCTTGAACAGTAAGTATTACAACACATTTGAACCTTGATGTTCTTATAATAGCAAAAATTAACTCAAGTATTTTAGGGACTGAACTGCCCAACATATGTGGTTATATACATGATACTTAACATGTATATGAATTTATAAAAAGCAGTTTGACAGGTACATTGCAACATAGTACTAGCAATAACCATTTCAATGAGTCTTGTATAACATTGATTGAACAGAATCATATGCTGATATGTAAATATGCACGTGTTGTTAGGATTTAAAACTCGATTATTTCGATAATTGCTCTATGATTTGTACATTATAATATTTATCTAAGTCAAAAATGGTTCCATATTTTGTACCTGTATAATTATTAACATTCTGACTTCTTTGGGAATGGATATTATAATATTTCTGTGAATAATACTATAATTTTGATAATCTAGAAGAGACTATTGAAAAAGGAAGACATTTGCTAAGAAAGGCTGAAAATTCTTGTATTTATACTCTATAATCTTAAACCTGTAAACGATATTAAAAATAATTTGAATCATCAAAGTCTCCTTATACAAATACAAAGGCTTCTCTTTTGTAAATAAGAGCTTGAAACAATTTCCTCACTTATTCATTTTATGTGAATAAATTGACATTTAGAAATTACAAGAGGTACATCTTACAATGCTCGTGTCGTGCGCTTTTGCCTCTTACAAAATGAACGAACTCAAATCTTATATTTTCAGGAATGAAGCTATGTCTCAAAGTTTATTATTGCAGATGCTGATGCAAGGTGCAGGTTGTTGGCAACAGTAAACAATGCATAAACTAAACCACAGTTTTAAACCTACCCACAAAATACACAAGATAAAGAATCACAAAGTCATTTAATCCACTGACAGTAAAAAATGAACTAAATGACTAATGTCTTTCCCAAATACGGGGTGGGGGTTAAGTGAAAGTGAAATTACTCGTGGTGTGATGGTGTTTAGTGCCTACGTGCAAGATTTACTAATGGCTTAACAGTACACCACATCCTAAAGTTATAACATTCACTATTCAGTATATGAATAAAATTAACACGAACTAGTAAGTAGGCCACCATGCCATTTGAAAAGATGACCCTTATCATCTTATTAGAAATTTAGGGTTCAACCAAATTTTCAAAAATATCCAATCAGCAGAAGGGTGTGTCTTCCAAGTACTTTAGGTATAAAAGTAGTCTATCTTATATCTATGTCTTTGCAATCACAAGTACCACATACGATAAAACATTTCTAAGTGAACACGCTTTGGACTGAGTAAAAAGTGTTCTTAGTTTAGGGTTTAGGAATACATCTTAGAGAGATGGTTTTAGCATGGGAGCGGGAGGGAATAAAAATTGGGTATAGGGAAATGTGTTAAAGTTACAGGGGTGTTCAGTTTAGAAGGGTGATCAAGTTATGGGGTTTTACTGTACTCTAAAAACGTTGCACTTCACATCAAGAACAAGTACTTAATTTAAAGCCTAGTGAGAAAGTTGTTGGATCATAGTTAAGATCATCTTAGATTACCAAGGTATGAAGTTTTCATAGATTGAAAATTAAACTGGTAAGCCAGTATGAGTAAAGATTAGGAGTCTAAATTTCCACTTCACATGCTAGACAAACCGCATGGAAGTTTTTAAATTTAACCCCCCCCCCCAGAATAATACAGATGATTCCATTTCACTCATTTCCATCTTGTACAGTAACACTTGGTAAAAGTGGAATTCCTCTGCTAGTGGAAGACCTAAAATGAAAGTAGAACACTTTTCTGAAACCGTTTTATTGGGACCACTAAATGGCTTCAGTTTAAATGAACCTCAGTAAGTGGAACACTCCCAAGGTGGAACATATTTTAAGCGGTAGCAATGGCATTCCACTTACATAGGTTTTACTGTACTTAATTATGTTTTTAAACATACACCAGCATATTTCCATAACAAGAAATGGTTAATGCTAATTTCTTCAAACTAAGGTGCAGTCCTCTTTGCAACCCTCAGTACTGAAAACCAGAGACATCTTTACAAAATACTATTTTGGGTTCTTAATATGATCTTATTTCTTGAATAAATCTATATATTGCTGTATGCCCAGAAATGTAAGTAATAGTTTGTACGAGTACCAACATGGTGTTGGTACTAGATATAGTATAGATGGCAGTTCATATCACAAATTGGTTGTTTGTTGAGTTGGTTAACAGGTTTTGAAAAATACAAAACCCTGCCACATTGGCTACATCAAAAAAGCAACGCCAGGATTTATTAAATAGGTTGATGATGTTATATAAACATGTTGTTAAAATCATAGGTTTTTGTTTAAGCAAGGTTTAACATTATCAAAAGAAACATTGAACTGTTCATAAGAACATGAATTTCACATCTATGATACTAATCATTGTAATGCAATAAAAGTGCATAGTTCATTACAAAATATATGTGTAAAACAATACATATATAAAAAATTTAACATGCAAAATGTTACCACCTCCCATTTGTTAAAGTCGCCAAATGCCGACAGACAAACACTGTCTCCAAAAGTTGAAGACTATATAACAATATGTCACCACTTGTGGGGTGACATAAAGTGGGTAAAATATATTTTGGGATAATTAACAATCAGTATTACAGAAAATTATCGTTTATTGTCAACTATCTGTTCACTTCACTGCCTTTAATTTTCATTATTGAGTTCTTTGAAGCAGAAACGACTAATTGCATCATCTTTGATTTTACTCCTTCTGAGGGAATATGTCTATCACAGTCTATAAATGGACTAAGTGGTATAAAACCTCATAAAATGTTATAGAGTTAAGAACTCATGGAAAACAGTCTCTGGACACTCAGTATGTCTGAATATATCAATATGACATGTCTTAGTATTGAAGCGTGTCTGGTTATATCAATGATGTGACATGTCTTATATATTTGAGCATGTCTGAATACATCAATGCGACATGTCTTATTTATTTGAGCATGTCTGAATACATCAATGTGACATGTCTTATTTATTTGAGCATGTCTGAATACATCAATGTGACATGTCTTATATATTTGAGGATGTCTGAATACATCATTGTGACATGTCTTATTTATTTGAGGATGTCTGAATACATCATTGTGACACATCCTATTTGAATATGTTTGAAGATACCCATATGACATGTCTACAAGTTCAACCAGTTGCACCAGGGAGCATTCTGCACTTCTTTTTCTTTGGACAATAACAGCAAGCCCTGGAAATATAAATCATGATGTAACTAAATGAAAAGGCACAAATAGATAATTGGATAATTGGCAGGAATAAAATGATTATATATGATTGACTATGATCATTATAAACCAAACTTGATTTGTAAAATGTGTGATTTTTAGGCATGGCAGACTTGTTGTTAAGTTGAGCAGAATTATTTATGTATTTATCTTCACTTGTTAATTTTTAAATATTTGTTTTGAAAGGGGATCTAGTCTCAACAAAATGGACAATTTAAGCAAGCTCATTAATGATATCCTTACCAAGTAGGCTGATGGCCCATTATGTGTGGTGTGGCACTGTGCTCTGAAATAACAACAAAACATATATGTTTATTGTTGAAACTTCATAAGTTTGTGGTCATATCACTGAAAAACGTTGAAAATAGAGATCATGACCATTACAGTACATTAATCCACATATTTTATTTTATTTGGAAAACTCTTCTGTAATGGTGAAAATCAATCGAAAATCATGAGTGAATAATTAAGTTTGATGCACCAAGAATATTAATAGAAGAGTATTTTGAACTAAAAGGCACATTACCTTTATGACATACTTCCATACATGGCCTGCAAACCCCTGCAATATACACAACAAAATACTGTACTGGGAAACTACAGAGGCAACATTTGAGAGTTGAAACATTAAAAGTCCTAAAAATCATATTAAACCAATACCAAATGTCAATGTTTCTTACAAAAGGCTAAGGGCAAAAGCCAATTTTTCAAGTATAACTCAAGAACAGCTTGGTTAGAGTTGATTTAAACAGCCACAGAAAAAATGGCAGAGATGGTTGGAAATTTAACTTTGATACAAACAGAAGACTAAAAATAACATTTTTTTATTTTTATTTTTATTTTTATTTATTTTTTTTTATTTCAGTTTATCAAGTACAGTTATACAATATTTTTACATACATATAGAACACAATAATTTCACATGACTTTTCTTATATATAGCTCTTGTTCTAATAAGTATTCTAAATTTGGATGTTGACCATATTTATACTTGCTAATACAGTTTTTTGTTATTAATACAATATTATTTACATAATTCTCAATATATTTTTTCTTATTTGTATATTTAAGCAAAATTTCCATTTCTGTTAATTTTATAGAGCATCCAAATTTTGCATTTATTTTGTTCATTATTTCTTTCCATATATGTTTTACCTTTTTACAAGAGATGAAGAAATGAGCATATGAGTCTTCTTCATTTCTGCAAAATTTACAATTGTTTGAGTTTGTCCCTTCAATTTTCCATTTAAATAGATGAATATTTGTGGGATATACCCTATGCAATATTTTGTACTGTAAGCTCTTTAATCTCGGTTCAGTAATATTTTGAATCATTTTCCAAATATCAGACCAATTAATATTTTGATATTCATTATTCCATCGTTGACAAGCTCCTGGTATGATATTTTCTTTTTTAATAATTAATTGTTTATAATCTTTCGACTTTGATATTTTTTTGGTAATCATACTTGAAGCAAAGGTCAGTGAAATGGAAGCCAGAGCGATTCAAGCTGAATCCAAGCTTAATGCTTTCCAAAAAAGACTGAGACAGAATTTCAAAGGATTCACACCCTAATAAAGAGTATCTCGGAGGAGCATGATACGCCATTGCTCAATACCTCATTACCAACCATTGGCCAGAAGACAAATGGAACTTTTTTCGGTCCAAGACCTCAGGGACCCACATGTGCTTCATCCCCTATTAAGGAGAAAGCAGTTAAGATTACTGAAACAAACCCTGATCAAAGTGCTCATAATGGTATAAATGCCAATAAGAAACCAAGTGTACTTCGCCCAGTTAATCCTGTCGTGATCCCAGATAAACGTAATGAAGATAAACATTCTAAGGATGTGAATCCTCAACGTGCTGATTGTGTAAACCGTCGTATTAATGATCGTATTAATACTCATAGGTCTGCCAAGCATTCTGTGGTTGAGCCTGTGACTCCGGATGTAGATCACGATACAAGTCTTGATGTAAGCCTGGATGACCACAAATCTTTTGCGATGGTGGCAAGCAAGAATAATGACAGATGGCAGGTAGCTGGCAGGCGCAAAGCAAACACTGCAGTGAAAACGAGGACTGTACCCAAACCTACACTGCAAGGAGCCTTAACCCTTCAACGAGGAGAATCTGCTATGGTATATGTGGCCAATATTAAAGTAAATCCTGATATGACAGACAAGGACATAATACAAATGATAGTAGACTTTAATGCTGATCGGGGTATAACGATAATTCGTGCCTTTGTTGTGAGAGTGCGAGTTAGACTAGATAAAGTTGGCGTCAAGCTTCTGGTTAACACTGGGGATAGCCAGAAGTTGATTTACAACACATCTTGGCCAGATGGGATTACATGTGACTACTGGAAAAGGAAGACACGATATATCTCACCAAGGTTTCAATCTCACAATGACTCCTGTGATTCCTGGAATCAAAGAGCTTGAACTGATTAACTACTAATCATGGATAAGTTAACTCATGTCACTTATGCTTTGATAATTTATATCATTTATACCATTCTGCCAATAAGCATTATTAGTACCAACATGAATAATCAGGACAGTTTAATATCAGAAAGTGTGAACCTGGTGACATTTAATGTGTATGGGTATAATACTATTAAGCCCTATCTAGAACAACTTTCTAACTCAGCTGATATTATAGGTTTAAGTGAACACTGGCAATATGGGGAATCCTTGAAGGAATTATACAGCATTAATGCACATTTTATGAGTCACCCTGTAGCATGTATTTCTGCCCAAAAGAAAGCACAAGGTAGACCTTATGGTGGTGTCTGTTTGCTATGGAGGAATAATATGTCTCATATGATTTCTCCAATAGATTGTCAGTCTGATTTTATTTGTGCCATAAAAATTGATATGGTAGATAAAACATACATTGTTATAAATACGTACTTACCAAGTAGTAAACCTGAAGGGTGTGCAGATTACATTGCTGCACTTGATGATCTAGATAGGATACTTAACATGTGTTTACTGCAAACTCCAAATGTAATTTTAATGGGTGATTTAAATGGTCACATTGGTATAAGTGGAGGTCCAAGAGGTATTGGGAAGCCTTCAGTGCAAGGTGCACATTTAATTGATTTTATTTTTAGGAATGGGTTAATTGTGACAAACTTATTAGATATGTGTAAAGGCCCCCTCAGCACCTATGTGGGTCACATGGGTCAACAATCCTGTATTGATTATATTCTTGTCACACCAGAGTTGCATTTTAGTATATTGGAGGTCAAGCATTTAGCAGATTGTAATCTAAATACTTCTGATCATATTCCGATTTCAATTGTTTTAAAAACAAATGCATTTAAAAAATGTCATAACAATGCTATAAGTCCTATGAAACTGTGCTGGGGAAAGTTAAGCTCAGACAATATTCAAACCAGATATACTGAACCACTGAATGGATATTTTAAGGAAGTCTGTGATTATTATGAAGATGTGGATATTGTTAATGGTAATGTGATAGATCAGGTGTTGAATGATGTATCTGCAGCAATGGTTAATCAAGGGAAATGTGCAATTCCTATAACTAAGTCAAATAGATTTCTTAAACCATATTGGAAAATGAACCCCCACTTAAAAACTTTAGTGGAAGAAAAGAACATTGACTATAAACGTTGGCGTAATGCGGGAAAGCCAAGACACCCAAATGACCCACTATGGCTGAAGCATAAAGAGTCAAAAAAGAACTTTAGAAGAGCGCTACGAAGAGCAGAATATGAATACTACCTTGATGAATGTAATGCTATAGAACAAGAAATAGACCAGCATAAGCTATGGCATTTAATAAAACGAGGCAACAAGAATAGCCAAACCAGTAGTGCGCCTAGCATAAGGAATGAGCAGAACATGTTAATAACTGAAGAAGATGAAGTAAGAGAGACATGGAAAGATTACTTTGAGAAACTGGCCACACCAGATGGAAATAATAATACATATGATGAGGAGTTCAAACAACAGATCGAAGATGACCTCAGAGTGATGGATGATCAGTCAAAGCATGAGCACTGTCCTGTATTAGATGACCCCCTTACTCCAACTGAGATTGCTGACATATGCAAAGATCTGCCCAATAATAAAGCCCCAGGGTATGACAATGTAGCTTACGAGCATATTAAACATGCAGGACCAGCCTTATATAAGCTCTTAGCAGTCATTTTTAAGTTTATTATAAAAAGTGAATATATCCCACTTAATTTTAGGAAGGGTGTAATTGTAACATTATTCAAAGGTGGCAATCTAGATAAATTATCAATGGATAACCATAGGAGGATAACTTTACAAACCACAATATGCAAATTATTTGATGCTATAATACTCAGAAGAATAAAAGTTTTGCAAGAGCTAAATGTGATAAGACCACCATCAATTTATCAATTTGCAGGAAAACAGAATATGTCATGCTTACATGCCTCATTTTCATTACAAGAAGCCATGAGTTATTTTATGGAAATGGGTTCAGAAGTATATATTATGTATTTTGACACCAGGAAAGCGTATGATACTGTATGGTTAAATGGGTTATTCCATAGGATATATAGTCATGTTGGCATTAAAGGAAAATGTTGGAGAATTTTAAGGAATTTGTATTCCTCATGTCATGATGTTGTTCGAATTAATGGCAAATTTTCAGATGGGTTCATGTCTAGACAAGGTATTCGGCAGGGAGGAAAGTCATCCTTGTTAATGTATCTGTACTTCATTGACCCTTTGTTAGATAAGCTGAACAAAAATGGGTGTAAAATGTATGATGTAACAATAGGTGCTCTAGGATATGCTGATGATTTAGTGGCCCTTGGACTCCACAGAATAAGTTTACAAACATCGATAGATGTTGCATATAGATTCTCCAGATGCTGGAGATTTGATTTTAACATAAAGAAATGTGCTATCATGATTCTTAATAATACTTGTAGAGGAGTAGGGAACCCTGTATTTTATCTAGGAAATAATAGCATAAATATTGTTAACTCTTACAAACATGTTGGGGTGACATTAAATACAGATGTAACTAGGAAAACTGATACTGTAAATAAGAAGATAAGTGAGGGAAGAAGGTCATTTTTTGCCCTCTGTGGAGTGAGATGTGAAAAGAGTATTTTAAATCCCCTTGTTTTATCAAAATTATTCTGGGCAGTTGCAGTCCCAAAAATGCTCTATGGCTGTGAGGTGTTGTATTTTAAACAAGCTGAGCTTGATTTGTTAAATGATGCACAAAGGCAAATAGCCAAAAGAATTCAGAAATTACCCATGAATACACCAGATATTGCTAGTTTGGGTTGTTTGGGATGGTTAGAACTCAGCGCTTATATAGATCTTCGGAAAATGTACTTCTTTAGGTCAATTGTAATGCTAAATCCAAGTTCAATCTGCAGAAAACTGTTTTTCCTGAGAATGCATGCAATGAAAGATAATATAACGGGAGTAATTATGAACAGGAGTATTGTATATAACATGTTACAAACCTTTATCAAGTATGAGATGAATGATATGATAATTAATGTTATTGAACAAAACATCATCCCTTCAAAAGAAATATGGAAAAAGAAATGTAAAACTAATGTATATAAGCTTGTAATTGAAAGATGGAAAATGCTCCTTATGTTAAGTCACAAACTAAATGTTTTTAGAATTGTATGTCCCAAGTTCAAAGTGAATGCTTGGTGGACTATGAGCAAAAGAGCACCTATAGTTAAAAATGAATGTTTCCAAATGGTGAGGCTACTAACTGGAGGATGTTCATTAGAGGTATTTACCCAAACCAATGTCATAAGGGAAGATAGGAAATGTACCCTTTGTAATGCTGGGGTTGGTGACTTAATACATTTTGTACAACAGTGCAATGTTTTTACTAGATTCAGATGTTTGTTTAGAAATACAATGAAGGCAAAACTTGTTAAACTAGATTATGATAACTTTTACATGAGATCAGAAACTGAAAGGTTTTATATCATGATGGGATTACAAGAAATACCAGGTATAAATGATGAAATGGATTTTACTATTAAGTTCCATAGCTGCAAAATGATATGCAATATGTATAACTATAGAAATGTGAAATTGAAGGAACTAAATTAATTTAAGTCAAGAACTAAATGTAGCATTGTGTAAATAATACTTTTTATTACTCTTTCCTTTGTAATGTAAATATGTTGTAAAAAAGAAAGTATTGTCACCAAATTGGTGGTTGAATAAATATACAAATACAAATACAAATAATGATATTATTGTACAATCTTTTATTCTGACCAAGTGCAATTGTCTTGTTTTTCAATGCATTTTGAATGACAAAATATTCAAGCGTGATAGCTGCATTGTTAGGCATCATTTGTTTGAAGATATTTATATTCTTTAGTTTCTGTTGATTGTCCAGTACATCATTTACCAAATTGATACCTGCATTTTTCCAATTTTTAAAAAATATAACTTTTCCCTTGTAAGTTATGTTTAGATTGTTCCAAATATAGCTATTATCAAATATGACATCATCACATGTTTTATATTTGAACCAAGTTTTCAAAAGGAATTCATAGAAGATGGTTGTATTCCCCCAAATAATTTGAGGTTTTATAAATTTTAAGTCTGAATTGAAATGAAAAATACTGAAATCAAATCCAATCTTTGATAACATCATTTTACTCATGTTTTTCCAATTTGAGTTTTCATCCTCAATAAAACGCCTGACCCAGGACATAATAAGTGCCTCTTGATTAACAAATATATCAACCATGTTGATTCCACCTTTTAAGTAAGGCTGTCTCAACACTTTACGTTTTATTTTTTCTGAACCTTTACCAGATTTACTCCATATAACTTTGTGTATTTTTGAATTGACCTGTTTTAAATATTTGTCTGGACATTTAAAAACCATTAACATATGCAACAATTGTGATGCAATCAAATTTTTAACAACACAGACTTTACCAACCAGTGACAAGTTGCGTTTACTCCAATTTTTCATTAAACATTCCATCTTATCAATTTTTTCAGTCCAATTTGATTCTATTAAATTTGCTGGTTTGTGGTTTGAAAAGTATGTCCCCAGTATTTTTATTTTAGCATTTTCACCTACTTCCCAGCAGATTCCTAAATGCTTTTCAATATTATTTTTATTTCTTCCGATCCACATTGCTTTTGTTTTTTCCAAGTTAAGTCTGAGTCCCGATGTTAAGTAAAATTTGTTTGTATCATCTAAAGTATGCTCTAACGATTGCAAAAGGGTTGTGTCATCTGCATAGCTTGTTAACTTAATTTCAGTATTACAGTTTTGAATTTTAATTCCTTTCACATTTTGATTTTGACGAATTTTGCAAGCAAAGATTTCTGTTGATAATATAAAAAGTAATGAACTTAGTGGACAACCTTGCCTCAAACCTTGATCTAAATTGAAAAAATTTGTGAATAATCCATTATTAGAGACTGTTGACTGTGTATTTTTTGTGAAAATTTCTATCCATCTTTGAAATTCAGGACCAAAATTGAATTTTTCAACAACTTTATAAACATACTTCTTAGAAATAGAATCAAACGCCCGTGAATAGTCAAGAGCGACCATAATACCTTCAATGTCATCGTTATAAACGTAATTCATTATGTCATCTATCAATCTTAAGTTTAGATGTATACCCCTTTCCTTCAAATATGCATTCTGGTCACTTTCAACCAATTTTTTGATTACAGTCTGCAGTCTGTTGGCCAACACAGTTGCCCCTATTTTATAGTCACAACAAGTTAATGATATAGGCCTGAATGATTTTAAATGATTTCTTGGAATATTTTTGCCTTTAAGTATTAATACTATTATTCCTTTCCTTTGACTGCTAGAAAGTTGCCCTGTCTGAAACCCATAATTTAATGAATTAACTACTAAGCTTTTTACTTTCGTCCAAAACATTTTGTAGAAGGCAGATGTTAATCCATCAATCCCTGGACTACTGTCAGATTTCATTTGTTTAATAGCTTGTGCACATTCATGTTCATTAATCAAACCTTCACATTTTAATTTGTCATTATCATCTAAAGATGGCATTTCAAGGTCTATTGCAAAATCATCTAACGTTTAAATAATATCCCCATTTTCCTTATACATTTCACTGTAATATTTAAACAGTTTTTCCATAACTTCACTCATAGAGCTAAAAATAACATAAATAACATAACCACTAACTGTAATTTCCTGAGATGACTCATTTTACAAATAAACATTGTATACTGTACTTACAATTTATTTTACAATCCTTGCAAGAAAAGTAATCTACTTTTTGACCTGCATCTTTTTGGAATGTTGTAGCGAAGCATTGTTTTGGAAGGTCGCTCTCACACTGTATTTTGCCATAGAGAGCTATAACACTACTAGGTTTCTGAAATAGTATAAAATCAATTTTTTTTTCAAAATCCACTCTCAACTCATCTCAATCCGTTCTGGTTGTAACAACCATATACATGTAAGTCATTCAAAATATTAATTTCTCGCAAGTCATAAGCAAAGTTGCAAGGCATGACCATTCATAATGATCCTTTCTAACAGTAGTAAACCTACCAAGGCAAATTGTAGCAGAGGCCTTGAACCAGGTGGGAGAATGAGTATATCTGGGTTATGTGCACCATGGTTTACGACTTCTCTAGACGCTTGCTCCATCTCAAAGATACCCTTCTTCATAAATGGACTGAAAATCAAAGATATATTGAATATGGTGGTATAGATATAATCCCTGTATTGTTAAAAACTAACAGAGATCATTTTGTATTTAACTTCTTGAATACCCAGAGTAATAGATATACTAGTGACAAAATTTCTCACTATATGGCTTTCACTTTGACATTTTGACAAATTATTATGACATTGACAAGTTACATAAAATTACTAATTTCCATGTTCAGTAATATCACCAAAATGAACACCAAATGGTATAAATATATGGCAAAATCAAGCAAAACATGATAATGCTCTAGTATGTTCAAGGAGAACCTACCCAAAGCTGATGAGCCTTGCATCCTCTGGTATGTGCACAATCCTGTCTCCTCTATCAACCATCTTTGATTTGAACATCTTTATGATGTCCTCAACACTGCAATTAAAGAACTCCAGATATGACATTTAGTGTGAATCAAATAAACCAAACAGGGACATACTAGTGGAACAAAAGTTTTTTCTATTTTCGTTGAGCATAACTTTCAGTGAAATATTAGATTAGTGTCTTTAAGAATGGGCATATTGCCAAGGTACTCAAACAAGAACCCCTATACCACCAACGGAATGAGGTTTATCAAAGTCGGGAATTAATTTTTCAAAAAAGTTTGTGGTATTAGGTGCACATTCATTTTATCATTGCCCTCTAACCAACCAAATACATTTAAAGAGACAGAGAGTATGTCCAAGGCTCAGTGGTATACCTGTGAAATGGCTGCAGCTGTACATCAGGCAGTGTAATCCCCTTGGAGAGAAGACTTAGGGAGACTTTCACAGGTAGCACTGCCAGGTCAGGAATGTGTTCACTCAAATACCTAAATAACAACATGAACAATACAAATTGGATTAAGACATGGTAGAATACGTTTAGTACAAATAGAATCTGGTTGATTGGCATCATTAACAAATTAAGATGACATAATTTGAAAATTGAGAATGTTGGTTGAACAATTGAGACTATAAATATGTGTATTTGATCTTTTCATTTTCCAGTCACAATTTAAATTTTATAATCTGCAAAAATATGAAAAAATCAGAACTGATGAATTTATTTAGAAATAATGCATAACATGGAATGTTGCGAGTAAATATATTGTGTAAGGAGACAATTTTAGAAAATGTGTTGCCCTTTTAAGACAGATTCTATTCATACTTGTCATAAGCCTCAGCAATAAGTTGCACACATTTAGTCATCTCAAGTTGCACTTCACTTTTCTGTCTCTCACATGATTGTTGAAGATCACTGAGCTGCTGTTCAAGTTCTGGAACAAACAACACATGGTATGTATAATGCACTGCAAAATCACATTTGTACAATATGCAATACTTATATGGACAACAAAATCACATTTGCATGATGCGCAACAAATGTGTGTCAATTCAAAACCACATTTGAACAATGCACATTATATGGGCAACAAGACATCTGTACCATGTGCAATATATGGACATCAAAACCATATTTGTATTATACATATTGGCAACAATTCCATATTTGCACAAAGCACCTTTATAACCTCAGAATGATTGCAAGAACCTTTCATAAAATTAAAAATATGAATCGTTTTACAAAAGGTTCTAGTAATGAAAGAATGTATAAGTAGTATTCAATACAAGTACCTCTGTCTGTTAATCCTTCAGAGTAGAGATCTTCTTTGAGTTTTCTCATCTCAATGTCAATCTGATGTTGTCTTCTGTCACAGTCTTGCTTCAGAGACTAGAATACATTTTTTTCACATTGTCAATTTATTTCATCAAAAAATAATTTTCATACAAAATGGCTTGCCAATCGCCTTTAATGGCATAATAGGCTAAGCTGAACAAAACATATTGTAATATTAAAGTACAAATCTAAATGTATCTAACGTGGAAGCATAAAAAAGTATGAAATTGAACAGGCCGGGTCTGTGTGTCTCACTGTGTGAGGTATGATTTCGATGTAATGCATCAAGACAGTAAGACGACATAAATATGGTGTAAACATTAGACCAAACACACATAATACATGTGCAATAAGGTTAAAATCTAAATGTAGAATGTACACTTGATCTGGCTAATATGTTTGGTTACTTACATTGATTTCTTTACATTTTTCCTTTAATCTAACTAAAAATATTTTAAAAACCTCACCTGACAGCATCTCTCATGATTTGCCAAACTTTTTTTCAAGTGCTCTGAAAAAGAAACATAATTAACTTGAACTTAAGTGATTGCCAGAATCGAGAGACTGACGTGAAATATATGCCCTTTATACATCTGTGTCTTGCCTATCTTGTGTATTTTGGAACTCTTTACATGGCAATGTCTCATCTAATCATAACTTAACATAACTTAACATTAGGGCTGTGCCGGAACCGGTTCGGACGGTTCGGAATCGGAACCGGAACTTGGTCTCACGGAATCGGAACTTTCGGAACCCCTTTTGGTTCACAAATGAAAATAATTATGTATGAGTGAGTTCGAACATGTATTTGATGCATTTGATAAACCACAGCAAACGTACTGCAAATATAGTCAGCAAAAGTCAACAATGAAAAAATCATTAAAGTCTAATAATCATTTAACTAGGTGATCAATACATGTACTATCTTCAAATATCTAATAACACATGAGTCTGTGATAGTCTGTGAGTCATTGTTGTTTAATATCATCTTCTCTCATGTTCATTTTCAAAAATAGAAGTCTATCGACATGGTCGGGATGGAGTGAAGCCCTCTGAGCTGTAACTATATCCCCAGCAGAGGAAAACACCCTCTCACTTTGCCTGATACTTCGGCCCACAGGCCTGTTTCAGATTTGGCGGCCATTTGCACTTCGACGCCAAGTATAAAAGGCAACCAAAAATATAAACGAATACGAAACTACTCGAGGAAAATCTGTCATGGGGAAGATAATTTCTTCTAAATCAATTAATCTGATATTGTAAGAGTTAAAATGTAATTAATTAACGCTGTTAGATTGTAAGACGTCATGGAAAAGTAAATTTATTCATTTATCTATGAGTATTTTCGCCCCGTCGATTCCTACTTCCAATGAAATCCGAAGGTCAAAGTTCGTAAAACAAAACTTGATTTCTGTTGATTTCTCCGCTATTTATTTTGTTTATGCGAGTAATACACATGCAAATTGGATGTAGTTTGAAGGAAAACATCACTGGAGGAACAATGGTCACGGATATTAACGATTCAAAGCAAGTACTAAGGTAAGGGTCCGATATTGTTCCGAAACCCTTCGGAACATGATATTAAAATTCCGAATTCCGGTATTTTAACAAAAGTCCGCGGTTCGGACCGATTCCGGTCGAATGGCACGGCCCTACTTAACATAACTTAATTGGTCAATATAAACTGGCCTTTTAGCACTTTCTCTACACGTGTTAATAAATCAGTTGCAGTCTGGGTATAAACATACCTTTTAAGACTAGCTCTACAGGAGAGAATATATTAGGTGCATTCTGGGTAATTGCCCCCTGTGATGTGGATGGCACAGCATTATCTTTAAAGGGACCAGGATTAGCTGAAACAATGCAAGAATCAACATATTGATTATACATAATTTACATTGCTTTAATTTGAATTAGAATCTCTGTCAAAAACAAATTAACAATGTTATTCTTTGTTATTTTTCACATTCAAATATAATCCAGAAAATTGTAAAAATGGCATTTCAAATAACCTTAACCCATGTACAGGTAGGTTGTGTCAATGAAAGTCTACAAGTTTGTCTCATTGCTTTCTTTGCCGATAGGAGACCATTTAAAATACATTGTAAAAAGTGATTTAAAACAGTTATGCAGTGTTTTGACGCCTACATGTACATGAACATATTATTTAATTCATATCTCACCTTTTTCTATCAGGTTATCAAAGTATTCCTTCTCAGCCTTCAGTTTTTGACTATTAAAAGTCACTAAAGATAAAAACATAACATTTTTTAATAATATATAATAATCAAATAGAATAATATAATCAAAAATAGGGAAGGCATATTTAGGTTATATAATAACTATAATTGGACTTTTATTGTTTCCACTGAAAAAATTCTGAACAAATATTTTTCTGTTAAATTTTGCTTCATGCCCATGATTTTACATATGAGGCCTATTAAAGGTGCAAAAAGGAGTGAAGCTTTGAACTGAATTTACACTTTTAATGCCGAAATTGATAGTTTATCCATACATTTTAAGAAAATAGGTATGTCAAAGAAGATGTTAAGCCAACTGTTGTCTTGATAGCTCAGAAAAAGTTAAAATTTTCCTATTTTCTCTCTACAAGCCTTATTGCCCCTTTAAAGTCATTGTCACAAAATGAAAGTGCATTATATGAAGTGCACTGTAGTTTTGTCATATACACATACCTATCATTTCATCAAACAGGGGATCTTTATGTAATTCTTTCACTGTTAGAGCCTGATTACAACATGGACACTTATGCAGTCTGTTGACGCATTCTTCTATACATTTGGCACAGTAGCGGTGACCACATGTTGTACTCAACGTATTCCTCATCTGGCACATACATACAGGACAGTTGAAGTATTCTGACAAACTTGTAACCTATCAATATAAACTTTATGTATAGAAGATCATAGGCAAAGGCCGATAGGAATTATTTTTAAATAAAGAGAAAAAGATAAAACTGGATTCTGTTGGTGCTGCCATCTTTATATCGGCCCAGAACCTATGGTATAGATATTATGTCAACATTCATATAAAGGTACAAGACATAAGATCAATAGGCATTGTAAAGGTTTCATTTACTGTAGAGGAAGATATTTTAAGGACCCAAGGGCATCTCCAGGGACATGAAAGAGAGTGTGCTTTATTCAAAGCCCATGAGGGAATCGAACCCAAGACGTTCCAGTTCAAAGTATGACGCTCTACAGTTGAGCCATAAGGGCTAGCCACCACAGCTGATGAGCTGAGCTGAACAGTAATAGCAACTTGGCGGTCGTTATATCTATGGTGGTGGCCGAGGGTGTATCTTGACTGGGTGAGTTTATTATGTAAGGAAAAACAGCAATTACCATGATGAATTGCCCCAAATCTACACATGTTTTTCAACTTGCCTACGTTAGATTTGACCTCTGCTGTACACATGCGAGTGACCATAATGTCATGCAATGCGGTGCTAGTAGATCTGTTTTTGATATTCGCGTTAAAACAGATTAATATTACGCAACTGTATCAAATTCATTGGGAAATTCACATGCTCCGCATACAAAAAATACACCACTTGTCAGTTACAAAATAGTATGTAGATCTAATGAGTTTCAATTTCACGAATTCTTTAGCTAAATTTTAAGTGTCCAAGCCCAAAGAACAAAATTGTTTAGACCTACATGTACATATAAACATGGGCTTTCAATTCTAGTGAACAAGAAAATTTGAATTCGCCATCTTGAATTTGAACTTGGAAATTTCCACACATGAATTGTTCCGAAAACTCGTATTGCTTAATACTATTGACTCTCTGCTACATTTGTGTGCCTATCCAGACGTGTCACATCACAGACGGGAAACACTAACACAGATGACACAATCCTAAAACAGGGAGTACTTTCTGACAGGAAGATTGACAGGAAGAATCCTAACTTGCAAACAATTTCACATTCCACATTCTGGAAGATTTACCACCCAAAACACACAACTCCACTGGTTAGGTAGCTATATATAGTTAAGTAGTTAAGTAGCTAGCTGTGTGCCGTCTGCTTTTGGTGTTATTGATAGATAATTTAGTACTTTTATTTGGTAGGCAGGCTTGCTCAATTTTTAATTTTTTTTTCTTGCTTGATTAACACTGTGCCAAGATAAATGCCACACATTGTGCAATATTAACCAAACGCATGGTGCCGAACACAATTGTGGCCCACTACATGGTGACCGAGAGGAAACAGTGCTAGCAGAGTATACTGCAACACAACAAAAATAACATCTGCTTTCAGCATAGATACTGTACACCTCTGGAATACTCGACTTAGACGAGACCACATTTCAGATCAACTCTGCTTGTAAACATTTTGCTTTCAGTATACGGTAGGATATCACCCACAAATTTGGTGGCGCTTTGCTAGTAAAATCTGCCTTCAGCTGGGCTAAAAATTAGAAAGCTCCTTGCAAATCAATAACAGCTGTATGCGTAGTCAAGCTTAGCTTTTAACACTAACCAATGGATGCTAACACTTGCCCTTGCAAAAAACCGCTCACCGCTGGAAAAGGAAAAAAGCAAAAAATTGCATGGATTTGCTGTAGCGATTGCGACCAATGGTGGCATAGTGCTTGCGTTTCGCTAACAAACCAAATCTGTAACATTTTTGAAAAACAAAATTTAACTTTCCATTGTCCTTTGTGTATAGTCAAAAATATTCAAACTCAGGATAAAGAAAAGCCCATCACTGATACAGACAATAGAAATTCTGAAAAAGTCAATGATTTAGAATCTCAAGATCTATCCAAAGAGACCAAGCCTAAAAGCAAAAGTTGGAGAGATACTGACCCTGACAGTAAAAATTACAAACAATCCAACATACTGATCATTGATAACATAAAATCTAGCTCATTTACAAATAGTTGTAGCATTAAACAAGAAGTTAATAAATTTAAACCTAAAGTAAAAATAGCATACTGCTACTCTTTGCCACGTGGAGGTAAAGCAATTCATTATTGCAGGGAGGAAGATAAGGAAGAACTCCTAGGAAGCTGGCCGGAGGAAGCCTTCAACAACAGAGGGAATCTCATCCATGTACACGAGCCCAACTCCAACTACAGGTGCATAGTGAAAAATGTGAACCCACTATTCTCTGACTCTACAATCGAAGAACTAATTACAGCACAAACTGGGATCACAAATACAGTGAGAAGACTTACTTATACTGACACAGGTAAGCCTATGCCAGTTATCAGTGTCACATGTAACAGTAGATCTGATCTTAATGATTTATTGTGCAAAAACATAATCATTGACAACAAGACTTGTAATTTAAAAGTTCATATATCAGCTAAAAACAGAGTTACAAGGTGTTTCAATTGTCAAAGGTACAATCACATAGCCAATACATGCACAGCAACAAAAAAGTGCCATAATTGCGGAAACACACATGATGATAGCCAGGAATATACAGCCTGCAAAAGACCAAGCAAATGTGCAAACTGTGGGGGGGGGCCATAAAGCATCCAACCCAAAGTGTCCCTCTTTTGTTCATAGAAACAATATTGCTAATCCTCCTCCTGTCAAATCAACTAACAATGAGAATTAACCAAGCCAATGTTAGATCAGTCAACACTTCAGTTCAATATATTGAAAAACTATGTACAAATGACACAAAAATTCTGTGCTTATCTGAAATATGGCACCCAGATTTTTCCAAATTCAAAATTCTCAAACATTGGAATTGGGTCAAATCAACAAGATCTAACAGACAAGGAGGAGGAACTGCAATTGTAATATCCAAGGATGTTAAATTCATAGAAAGAAAGGACCTGGTCAGACCAGACATCGAGGCTGTGTGGACCAATGTGTACAATGGCAATCACAGTTTCTTCCTATGTTCGGCCTATGTTCCTCCTGAAGATCACGATGGCATGATCAACTTGCTCGAGATTGTCGATATTGCCCTAAAAGGCTCATTACCCATAATCCTCACAGGAGATTTTAACGCCAAACACATCTCATGGCACTGTACAAAAAACAATAGAATGGGGGATATACTCTTGAACTATATCAATTCAAATCAATTATACATGGCAAACAACAAGTCTCCAACAAGGGGTGACGAGATAATAGACCTAACAATTACTTCAGGTAACCTATGCAACAAAATAAGCAACTGGTGTGTTAGAAGCGAAATCTACCTAAGATCTGACCACTTTCTAATTGAGTTTGAAATAGGTTTGAAGGATGAAAACCCTGTTATAGAAAAATGGGATTTCAAGAATGCAAACTGGTATGAATTTGAGAGAGTTTGCACTGAAAAAGCTAATTTTCTGCTTGCTAATATTACAGATTCCTCTAGTGTTGACCAGGATTACAACAGCATATGTGAAGCGATACTTGCCACTGCCGAAAAAACTCTGAAGAAGAAGAAGACCAGTAAATACAGCAAGGGATGGTGGTGTCCTGAACTTACAAAGAAACTAAAAGAAGTAAGGAAGGCAAAACGCAATTTCAATAAAAGGTCGGATCCCAATAATTGGGACAAATACTCAAAACTAGCCAATGAATTCACTAAGATGGCTGATCTATACAGAGACCAATATTGGTATAATCTGTTCAAGCAACTTGACTCGAAAAACACTGATAAAATGTGGAAAGTTGTCAAAAATTACAACAAGTCAGGTACAACCAAACCCAGTGTACAACCACTAATACGAAAGGATGGTTCTTTTGCAATAACAGATAGTGAAATTGCCAATGAATTTTTAGTGAAATACGGCAAAGAGGAGCTATCCATTTGTAACAAAAACTGGCAAAGTCAAATAGAGATCGGCTCTAAACTAGCTGTCAATTTAGAAAAACTTGAAATCAGCTTGCCTAACTATAGCAGCGACTGTAGTATTGAAAACAAAGATCTTAACATTGGGGAACTCATAACAGCCATAAACAAATCAAACAGCTTATCTGCCCCGGACCCCAGAGAAAAGATATTTTACATTTTTATTAAAAAGGCAGGTATGAATTTCATCAAGGTAATACTTAAGCTTTTCCAAAAATGCTGGAAAAGAGGGATCATGCCTTTGGAATTCAAAATTGACCCCAAAAACATGATCCCAAAACCATCCAAACCCAGCTATAATGTAGATGGGGCATACAGGCCAATTACCCTAGAGTCTATTCTGGGCAAACTCTACGAGCACATAACTTGTGACAGATTTGTCTGGTTTGCAGAAACAAATAACCTTTTTTCTGAATTCCAGGACTCTTACAGAATCTACAGAAGCTGTAACCACACAATCCTCAGAATCACACAGGCGGTGCAACAAAGCTGGAACAAGCAAGAGACTGTAATTGCGGTAACAATAGATTATGACTCTTGTTTTGAGAGGGTGTGGAGGGACGGGCTCATAGCCAAGCTCTACAATAACGGAGTGAGGGGCAGACTCCTATGCTATATCTCAGAATACCTGAACAACCGCCAATACTCTTTAACTGTAAATAAACATACATCAGAGCTGAGGACATCAACTGTAGGATTGCCTCAGGGAGCTGTGGTGTCCCCATCCCTCTGTAATGCTTACACCGCAGACGCCCTAGCAGGAATAAAGGCAAGCCATGGAGAGTATGCGGACGACATAATTCTATGGCAGTCTGGGAAAGACCATAACATCATAGAAGAATCACTCAATGAGGACCTAAGTAAACTACAATCATGGTGCGAGTCATGGAATATGAGCATCTCTTTGCACAAATGCAAAGTTATAGTATTCTGTCCACCAGGAAAAACTAAACCTATAGTTGACATTAGGTTAAACAATATCTCATTAGAAGTAACAGAGTCAACCAAAATACTAGGCATCACTCTAGACCAAAACCTCAAGTTCGATGAACACATTTTAGAAAGACAGAGAAAAGGCTTCAGTGCTCTGAAACAGATATCCAATTTCACTAACACTAACACAGGTTGCTCACAGTCAGTGTTCTGCAACCTATACAAGAGCCTTGTTCAGCCAAACTTAGAATATGGAATTAGTATAATTTCCACTGTAACAGATAAAGCTATATCTGCCTACAGATCTGTACACAGACAGGCACTATTAAGAGCAACTGGCTGCTTACAATCTACAAGTACAGAAACTCTCGAAGTACTGACTAACACACTGCCACTAGACATACTACTCAAGGCCAGACAAGCACAAGAACTTGCTAGAATTAAACTGAAGACGAACTCCAGTCCCATACACAGAGAACTAATACAGTGGACCAACAACACTACAAATGAGAAAAAACCTACAACATTCAGTATTCTCAAATCAAGACTCGGAGAATTCTGCAGAAACACTCCGCTAAACAACTTGGAAATTGAGTTCTCATATTCTAAAGAATTCAACAATTTTGAGGAACTCCAGGTCAAAAGGGAAGTCAACGAATTCTCGAGAACAAAGTCTGCACAGCGTAAAAGAATAGCAGACATAATTAACAATTGCCCTGACAATACAACTGTAGTGTTCACAGACGGCTCTGCACTAGGAAACCCAGGCCCTACAGGAGCAGCTGCCATTGTATATTTGCAAGGCCTCAGAGGGGAACCAATCTGCTTAGAAAGTCCCATAAGCTGTTCTAGCAACAATTACATAGGAGAAGTCAGAGCAATAGAGCTCGCCCTCACATACGTTGATAAAACACCACTGTGTAGGGATATACTACTTTTTGGCGACTGTCAGCCCGCTCTAATTTCTGCGTTTGAGACCTGTATACCCAAAAATCAAATTGAATCCATCAACAAGATCAGAAATACATGTAAAAATCTCACTCAAAAGGGTATCAAAGTTAACTATTACTGGGTACCAGGACACCTTGATATCAAAGGAAACGAGCTGGCTGACAAACATGCCAAGCAGGCGGCACTAAATGCTAAGGCACTAAGTCAAGATAGCAGAATAGTTACTAAAAGTGAAATATATAAACAAATACACACATCATCAAAATCAAAGTGGCAAAGGCAGTATAACAACTCGAAAAAAGTTGGATACATCCAGAGGTCTATTGATTCTGTTGGGACAAGAACCCTACTAGGTGAATCGAACAGAAAAACCTTCTGCATCACTAACCAACTTTTGAGTGGACATACCAGATTAAACAGCCATATCAAGAAAATTAACCCAATCCACGACACCAACTTATGCCTAGACTGCAACAAACCAGAAACAATAGATCACTATTTATTCAAATGCAATAAACTCAAAGAATTACGGGAGAAAGTGCTTCACGATGCAGTCTGTATCTTACTTGAGTGTGAAATTATATACACACTAGACTTGAAAACCCTGGCCGGAGAAAATCAAAAACTCCCCAACAAAATCAACAGGAAACTGAACGATCTATTCAGAACTTTTATCATAAAGAGCAAAAGATTTTAAAATTTTAAAAACACATATGTTAGTTCAACTAGATAAGGATTTTAAGTAAAATAAAAAAATAAAATAAAAAAAAGAGACTTCTACAAACCATCAGTGTAAAACTTACAAGTGATAGCACAGTGTGGAAAACAAGCACCAGAGACTAAACAAAGGTGGCATCAAAGCACCTATTACAGATGGACATAAACAAACAAACAATTGAAAGCCCATGATATAGGCTATACAAATGCAAATAGCAATTGCAACATCAATTTACTTTTTACATGTACAGTTGGGGACAAAAATAAATGACAGGTCGATTTTCGATCACCATTTCCTAATTATGGTGGTCTGAAAGCCCATAATTTCCAATATTGTCTGGATACATATCCCTTAAAATTTGTATATTTTACATTTTGTATAATCTCATCCACTGATGTATGGCCTCTTGTAAATTCTCTTATTTTTAACATGGGAAATCCTCACTTCAGCAAATCCACCTGTCATTTATTTATGTCCCCAACTGTAGGATCCATCAACATAGGAGACAGGTTACCTGAAAAGGAAGATAGATATCATTATCAAGGACTGAAACTGAGGCAAGTCTACCCTGGCTGAAATCAGCTCTGAAATAACAATTACTGCATGTCAAGCCGTCATTCAATGCTGATTTTGTAGAAAACAGATCTGTCCATCCTTCTACATGTGAGTTTTTCCCATAAAGATGCTTGATTAAGTAGAAATTCATCAAATTATACCCCTAGAATATCAAAGTTCAACTGTACATCAATCGCGTGAGGAAAAAAAACAAATCCATTCTTCACCTTCTGTTCACAAACCCTTCTTCTTCTTCTTGGAAAAGTTGTCCCTCATTTGACTAACAGCAAATGTGTATGTTTATGCAGCAATATATGTTAGTTTAGAAAATGATTAATTACAATCTTACCTGTACTTCACAGAAACATCCTAAGTATGAAAATATTTCACTTAAAATACATGCTTCCATTTTGTCACATGTTCATAATAATTTACATATTGACCATGTGATGTTGACAGGGAGTGTAAACGCACCTAGCGTACAGGAAATATGTTATGATATTTATTAAGAAATTAGGTATGGTAATCATTATTACTTATTGTATTAAGCCCCCAACCCACTTCACAAAGTTCATGAAGTACCAAGGAAAGACCAAATATTAAATAAATTAGAAAAATTTGAATTTCCAAAAAAATCAAGTGGGCGATAATAGAGCCTCTGAAACATGGCAAAAGTGACATATTTTGTAATTTTCAATGCACTCCCGATAATTATCTATCATTGTGTGCTTTCCACACCATATCAAACTAATATTATCTAAAAATAATGTATGTAATAAGTTAATGAAGGAAAAATTTAATGTTTCAGAGACTCTATTATCGCCCACTTGATTTTTTTGGAAATTCAAATTTTTCTAATTTATTTAATATTTGGTCTTTCCTTGGTACTTCATGAACTTTGTGAAGTGGGTTGGGGGCTTAATACAATAAGTAATAATGATTACCATACCTAATTTCTTAATAAATATCATAACATATTTCCAGTACGCTAGGTGCGTTTACACTCCCTGTCAACATCACATGGTCAATATGTAAATTATTATGAACATGTGACAAAATGGAAGCATGTATTTTTAGTGAAATATTTTCATACTTAGGATGTTTCTGTGAAGTACAGGTAAGATTGTAATTAATCATTTTCTAAACTAACATATATTGCTGCATAAACATACACATTTGCTGTTAGTCAAATGAGGGACAACTTTTCCAAGAAGAAGAAGAAGGGTTTGTGAACAGAAGGTGAAGAATGGATTTGTTTTTTTTCCTCACGCGATTGATGTACAGTTGAACTTTGATATTCTAGGGGTATAATTTGATGAATTTCTACTTAATCAAGCATCTTTATGGGAAAAACTCACATGTACAGTTGGGGACATAAATAAATGACAGGTGGATTTGCTGAAGTGAGGATTTCCCATGTTAAAAATAAGAGAATTTACAAGAGGCCATAAATCAGTGGATGAGATTATACAAAATGTAAGATATACAAATTTTAAGGGATATGTATCTAGACAATATTTGAAATTATGGGCTTTCAGACCACCATAATTAGGAAATGGTGATCGAAAATCGACCTGTCATTTATTTTTGTCCCCAACTGTAGAAGGATGGACAGATCTGTTTTCTACAAAATCAGCATTGAATGACGGCTTGACATGCAGTAATTGTTATTTCAGAGCTGATTTCAGCCAGGGTAGACTTGCCTCAGTTTCAGTCCTTGATAATGATATCTATCTTCCTTTTCAGGTAACCTGTCTCCTATGTCCATCAAAAATCTTATCTCACACCCAATATAAATCAAGAGCTGTAATTATGCATATACTTACTGGAATATTAATTGGTAAATCATCACAAGCCATCTTCGACTGTAGTTCTCAATAATTGAATGGGAAATTTTATTGAATCATCAAACTTTTTTTAGAAGTATAAAATTATTTGACTGCGATTTTAACAATATGGTATAAAATACCAAATTGTTAAACTCGCGTCAGATTTTTTATCAAGATGGCTGCCTCCATGGAGAACGCATTTGTCGCAGATATTCTGGAGAATTTCTCTAAATTAACGTCAAAACCAGAAGTTTTCACAAGGTAATAATAATGTAATTTTTCAGGTGCTATAGACGACTGACTCTAAGTTCTAGAATTCGTTATACTTCTCTAGAAAACAGGTTTTGAATGATTTCACATGTTTTTCATAAAATTGAAATATTCCACAACTCCACTCAGTAGGGTCAAGATTGCAGTTAAAAATCCCATTGACGACCATTATAACGTTTCATTTCATAATATATTCATGGGCACAGATCTAGCTCAGCGAAACAGTGCCCATTGTTCATTGGAGTCTTGTCTACAGTTGGGGACATAAATAAATGACAGGTGGATTTGCTGAAGTGAGGGTTTCCCATGTTAAAAATAAGAGAATTTACAAGAGGCCATGAGTCAGTGGATGAGATTATACAAAATGTAAAATATACAAATTTTAAGGGATATGTATCTAGACAATATTGGAAATTATGGGCTTTCAGACCACCATAATTAGGAAATGGTTTATCCCGTTCCCGGACTATGGTCCTGTGAACATCTCAATCTTTTGCCTGTGCGATTACAACATGGGAGAATTTTTTACTGATCTTACACTTCAGATACCTACTTCAATAGATTCCTTGGTAATTTAGCATTCTTTTCGTGTAGTTGAATCCACAATTGTCTGGGTTTATCGGCAGAACGAAGACATTTTCGTTTTTGATCGCAATATTTGCGTGTAACATTTAACTTATTTCAACAGTCAAATTCCTCCATATTGGTACTTCCGGGCTACATCCGGGACAGCCAAACGGGGGATTCGCCTTTTAAATCCAACCGCCATTTTGAAAAGTGATGGAATCTCTCTCGATGAAAAAGAGAAAATGTTCCCGTTCTGCCGATATACCCAGACAATCGGCGGTTCCAATATATTAGAAGTTACATCTTGAGTTCTATAATGCATTGAGGTAGGTATCTTAAGTGGAAGGGGCGTAGATAATTCTCCCAAGTTGTAATCGTACAGGCAAATGAATGCGATCAGTGCAGGACTATAGTCCGGGAACGGGATAAGAAATGGTGATCGAAAATCGACCTGTCATTTATTTTTGTCCCCAACTGTAGCTTGCCGTTACAAAATAAGCATACGGTGACCACGCCGTTTTTGAGATAACTGAATCTTGAGAGAGCTACCACCGTAAAGCTACCTGTTTCAGAAAATTATTCTGCTCTACATAGTCTCAAAAATCACTCAGCCATCTCTAAAAATTCTGTTTCTAACCAAACTTGTAAATGTTTCCTGATAGATTAGTACTTACCCTATCGAGAATAAACCTTGATTCATTTATCAAACACTAGATGGCGCTGCGACGGGACAGAAAAGGAGAAAAAGCTTTTTTATACAGAAAATCAAATAACCAACGGTAACCGCTAGTATCCCTACTCCGGACTATATTCGTAGATCTAAGATTTAGACTGGTGCGAACTCTTGACATCCGGTTTCGACTCTGGTTTTGGGTCATAATTGATTTGGTGTGAATTTTACCTTATTTTATAAATTCAGTTGATCCTCAATATTTTGATACTGGAAGTTGGAACCATGGCCAGAAATGCTTGCAAATTGTAAATATTGAGCTTGAAGCACAAAATTTCATACATTTTGGCCAAGTCGCCGCTCAAGGACATGACGTAATCTATTTATAGATCGCTGAAATGTTGAAACTATTTTTTTCTGACAAGTTACAATAATATGAAAGTTGAATAAACTTATTATAGAGTAGATTTAGTAAGACTCCTAATCTTCAGATAAATCTTATTTTTCAAGTTCTACCGACGAAGTCAGGCCTAGAAATCTACTCTAATATCACCGATCAAAGCCCCTGACACAAGAAAAAAATTTATTTAGAACTGACTACATCCTATTATATTAGATATTTGATAGATGGTGCTGACTGTGATTATAAGAACATACAAAGAAGATATGTCTGACTTGAGTTCTATGCAAAATAAAAGACTTACTTTACTTTACTGTTATGTTTAGGGTCATTTTGACCATGACCATTGCGATCCTGCTCGTGTAACTAGAGTCCATTTCACTGCTTCATTGCGTCAGTAGAACAGCAAAAATAAGAAATTGGGAGACCATTGTGCAATAATATATGAAAAAATATATTTATAATATACATGAATGACATTTGTATATTTCCGATTTTTAGTTTTTTGTGCAATAAGCCTGTGCCGTCTTGTAATTTGAAGAATTTCAGCCATGTTAATCTTATTGAAAATAACATGGCAGAGAAGCATCCAAATATAAGAGGCCACACAAATTTTAAAGCCAAACTAGAAGCAATCCAAGATATACAAATGTCATTCATGTACAATAGGAATATATTTTTCCATATATTATTGCAAAATGATATTTTGATTTCTTATTTTTTAGCTTTTACTGACGCAGTTAAACAATGAAATGGACTCTAATATGTAAAACTAATAAAATGAACTGAGGTCAAAACGGGACATTGTTATCTAAAAGTTCAAAAATTTTCAAAAATTCCAGCATGTTTTTTATTACCTGTTAAACCTGTCACCATGTCATAAGATTTCAATCATTATTATGTTCCAAGGTCAAGTCCCAAGACAAGTCTCATATACATGAATTATACTAGCAAAAGCAACAGCACCACATTTTCATTTTGTTTTAGCATCTATTCTTGAGTATTCTCTATAATTCTCAGTTATCACTTGTCTTTATAGACATACTTTACTTGTAATAGTCAGATAGTAGTGATTGTACTGGAAGTTGTGATAATAGAATATAATATTGTGATATAAATGTACTGGGTCAGATTCTTTATTATGTCACCATCAAAAGAGGTGACCTATTGTTATAGTCTCCAACTTTTTTGTGAACAGTGTCCAGTGGTTGGTGTTCGGTGGTCAGCATTCGGTGTCTGTATTAAATGGCAGGTGGAGGCACTATACAGGTTAATGCCTTGTGATAATGTGATATCTTTATACTTTGTAGTCAAATAAAAATGTTTTTAAATTTAATGATATAAATCATAAATCAAGATGCTTTTTTGATTTCAGTGTTCAAAGAAAACAGTCCGAAACATACAAGAAGAATTCAAAATGTTTATATGACACAGCTCAGTCTGTTAAACTAAAGCAGACAAACTCCAAATCAACAGAACTAACTGAACTCATTACAGACAGTATGGATGAAGAACAGATTTGGCAACAACTTGAATTATGTAATGAGACCACAATACAAACATCATTAGAGAGATTGGCTCATATGCTTGTTGGCAAATCTATTGAATTTGACATTGAGGATGACCTAGAAGTTGATGATATTGAAAATGATGACGATAATGATATGGATAACTTCATGGATGAAGACAATGCGTCATCTGATAGTGATGATGAATCAGGAGTTGACTTTGACAGTGATGAAGGCAATACAAATATAGCAGCAATAGATGCATCAAAACAGGCAACAAAAAATAAACAAACTCCAAAAAGTATTGTAAAGTCAAGGACTAAAAAGTCAGTTGTTGATGATAAGTTCTTTAATTTAGCTGATATGGAGAGATTTCTAGAGCAACAAGATAGACTGTATGAGAAGGAACATAATGATAAACCATTTAAAGATAATGAGGAGGATTCCTCAGATGATGATGACGAAGATGAGGATGAAGATGATGATGACATAGATCTAGGGGATGATGATGCGGTATGTTTATTATTTATTAATAACAAATTTGAACTGTGATTATACAACTTATGATACTTGATCTTTTTTTACCTACATGTGTGAATATGTTTATGGAAAAATTGGATTTTTATTGAATAAAATGGTTGCCCATTGGTGCTTTTTACTTATGCTCTATTATGGATTCCATGAGAACAACTTGAACTGGTTCAGATTCTGGTTCATGGGAAGGTCACAAAAGCATTAGAAATTTGTAAAACAGGGCGAATATACATGATTCAACCAATGCACACTTGGTGTAAGACATTTAATTCAGCTTTTGTTTCATTTTCTCAGGAAGCTGATTACATGTATGCAGATTTCTTTGATCCTCCCACCACAGAAGAAGGTCTGACAGGAAGCAAAAAGTCGGTGTCATTTAACGCAGAAGATGATGAGCAAGAATTCAAGTAGGATTTAAATGGCATTGCCTATCAAAATTAAAGTGTCAGTATCGGCAGTTTCACATTGTTTGATTTAAACGTTACTGTAGATTTGGTTAATTTGGCGCCCATTTTAATTTGGCGAAAATGAAAAATTCGCCAATATAAATCTTTGCCAAAATTTAGAATGAATCCCCAGGAATTATCTAGGGTATTTCGTCCCAGTGTTTTTAGGTCACTTCCGGTTTAGTTTTTTCCAAAAATATGAAAAAATGTCTCTCATGAATTGGCTCAGAACGCACACCCATTAATACCCAGGGAAAAACTAGAAAGGAAAAGCGCGGTATAGTAGCAGCATCGATCGAGGTGCAAAATGTAAAGGATGATCTCACAAAAATGTACAAACGTGGTGAATATCGCCAGTGGTCCTCAAAAAAAAATGAACATAGCCAAACATGCCCATTTACATGGTAATTTGCAAACAGCACGTTAGTTTAACATTGCAGAGAGTAACGTAAGACGGTTTAAAAACTCCTACCTCCGCCAAATTAAATAGCCGCTAATAATGGCAAAATGGCCAAATTTAGTAGCGCCAAATTAACCCAATCTACAGTATATAAAAGTGAGTGAAATGTTGGCATGTTTATTTTAAACAACAAAAATATGTTTTGCCATACTGACATTTTGAATAACTATTTTTCAAATTCTTGGACCAAGTTAATCTCTTGATAGCTCATATTAGTCTTTGGATGCCAATCACCTACTCTATCTACACTTTTGATAAAATGTCCAAGTTCGTTTTCATATGGTAAATGGTTTATTCTATGTTTTAGTGATGAAGACCTAGAGGATGTTGATGATGATGACCTATCTGCCCAGAAAGTCCAAGGTCAAGGTCGTGATCTTTTCCAAGGCAGTGATAGTGAAGGAGAAGACACTGAAGATATATTAGGTGGCAAAAAGTCATCATTTGAACAGAGGAAAGAAAAGGTGGGGAATGAAGAATATTATTTTATCTTTCTTTAAAATGGTTGATAAAATGAAATCTCGATTTAATTGAAATGATAAAATGTAGTGTTGAAGAATTGTTTATTAGACCAACCCATCTAATTTTATTGGCATTCCGTATGATTCACAGATGACTAAAAAGATAGCAGAGATGGAGACCATGGCTTTAGAGGCGAAACCATGGCAACTATCTGGTGAAGCTGCAGCTACTATACGTTCAGAGAACAGCCTTCTGGAAGAAGATCTCATGTTTGACCACACTTCACGGCTACGTAAGTCAATCCAACATTTATTGGTCTCATGTTTGACCGATTCTCACAACTACACCTCAAGGCTCAATGAATTGATAATCTTAATCACAATTGTCTTCCATCCAGACTTTGAATGAGTGTGGTAACTTAAATTCAAAGGCAGAATTTTTCATGGTTTCACCTTTTACATTTTGACCTATCTAAGCATGGGTGTCGACTTTTGGCAATCAACCGAAGATACCTCAAGAAAAACCGGAGATTGCCGAAGATTGCCGAAGCTTTTCTTTGCAAACGAAGTTGGCCGAGGGTACCACGAATGTGAAGAGGATGCCTCTAATTGGTCAAAAATAGAGGCTCGGCATTCTCCGTCAGATTGAATCGGCAAAATTCGGTTGTATGGCTTACCTTCGGTTGTATGGCTTACCTTCGGCTGCATGGCCCAACCTCAATTGATTGGAAAAGATGCTGTCCCATCTAAGCACCTACCTTGCTATTCAATCTTGTAGAATACAGAATGCATATTACTTCATATAATGTCTTCTGATTGGCTAGAATTTTATATATCATGCCAAGCTATGAGTGAATATTCAATGTATCATTTTGATTAGTTAAAGAAATCTGTAAACCAGCACTAAATTAGTTGATCTATTAGCACTTAAAAGATGGAATCTATAAATACTATCTATAAATATAAGAATGATTATTTGTAGCTAAAGAAATCACAGAGGAGGTAACTCAGGAACTTGAGGATCTCATCAAACAAAGGATCAAGGATCAGGTTAACATTTCTTTTCATAATTTTCAATCCACATTTAATCATTATTATTATACTATTATGTCACCACCGCAAGTGGTGAAATATTGTTATAGTCCACAACAATTTTGTGGATGGTGTTTGGTGGTGGGTGTTTGGCACCTGTAACTAATGGCAAGTAGTGACATATTGTTTTAGTCCACAACAATTTTGTGGATGGTGTTTGGTAGGTGTTTGGCATCTGTAACAAATGGCAAGTGGTGACATATTGTTATAGTCCACAACAATTTTGTGGATGGTGTTTGGTAGGTGTTTGGCATCTTTAACAAATGGCAAGTGGTGACATATTGTTATAGTCCACAACAATTTTGTGGATGGTGTTTGGTAGGTGTTTGGCATCTTTAACAAATGGCAAGTGGTGACATTAATGTGTTGCATCTAATTAAACATCAGTCTCCATCACCAAAATTGATAAAGGTGCAAAATGACAAAAAGATCTTGATTCTCCTCCAGCTTCACCTTGGTATCATGCATGAAATCAAGTTTATGAAAACGAGCATGTAATTGTAGGCGTTTGATGATGTCGAATGTGAATACTTAAATAGTCACATTTCTATGGTTGATGACACCTGGCATAAATCAAATATGATATTATTTGAGCACAAAATTGTATATGATGCATGAAATTAAATTTATTAATTTGAGCATGTAATTGTAGGCATTTGATGATGTTGAGAGGAAGGAAAAGAAGACTGAGGAAGTGTTTGAATACAAGAAGAGGATAGTTCTTGACCAAGAGAAGAGCAAAGCAAGCTTGGCAGAGGTCTATGAGCAGGAATATCTGAAGCAAACTCAGGTTGGTCTATTTAATAAAACTGAGAAAACTCAAATTCAAATGATTTGTGATTATAACTATGTTATGCAAAAGTGCCAAAGGGTAAGGACCAACAATTATTACAGAACACAGAAAGAAAAAGAAAACATCTAAATTCTAAAAGTACATCAGTCATAAGAAAAAAAACCAACTATCCCAAAAACGCAGATGCGAGTAGGTAGTTACCAGATGCACCACCAGATGGCTCGTTCGGGTCAGATAGCATGGCGGGTATATTAGAAAGTTCCCTTTAATTTAAATTACATCTATTTGCGTGGTTCAATTTTTATATAACCCTTATGTATCTAATAGTTATGCAAATTAAAATATGTCCAGTAAAAGAAAATGTTATCTGTCCAATACAAGAAAAGATAATTCACTTTTTGTGATTTTGTAACATGGGGTCTATGGGGAATCAACCCGAACAAGAAGTCACATTTTCAAAAAAAATTAAATTTTCAAAGCTGATAGACAATTTTCGAAACCATATTTCTAGATGTACTTTTACATGCAGATTTCAAATATTAGATCACTTTGACTGAATTTTGAATATTTAATGACGTAAATCAAGATTATTTTTTCTCGCATCTAGTCTAATAGTTTAAGTGACCTTTTGTGTGCATTTTAGATATTTAACAAATCACTACTTAGAAATTCAGGGTTTTTGAAATTACTTATTTGAAAAAGATACTTTTATGGCCTCCAGCAAGCTGGCGTGTGTTCTAATGCTGAAATCTGTGTTTTTGTTACTTTCTAGGGTGAGAAGGAAGAGGAAGAGGACAAAGACCATGCAGCTATCAAGAAGTCCATGCAGTCTTTGTTCATCAAATTAGATGCCCTCTCTAATTTCCATTACACACCTAAACTGGTATGTGTTTATGCAAGATTTATTATTTTGTACATACTAGTAATATGTTGAAATCCTGAAGTAGCATCACCAACTGTACTATTATATACATCTCTCAATACATTTTAAAATGGATCAATTGGATGTGTTACTCCATAATATTTCAAGTGTTTCCATTTTTGACATGATGTGTGCATATAATAGTCTATAATTGTCAATTTCTTGCAGGCATCTACTGAGGTCAAGGTCGTATCCAACATGCCATCTATTAGCATGGAAGAGGTTGCTCCAGTCAGTGTCAGTGATGCTGCTCTACTTGCCCCACAGGAGATACAGGTACAGTATATTTTCTTCTTCTGTAAGAGTCACATCATGTCCTCGGCCTCTACTCCTTCTGTAGCAACACTTTATCCTCACTGTTTCTTCAAGAGGCAGTCTATGCCCTTGTTGTTCTTCATGAGGCATACTTTATCCTCACTGTACTTTTATGAGTCAAATATTGCCCTTGCTCTTGAGGCAAATAATTTCCTTGCTGTTCTTCACAAGGGACATTAAATCCTCACTATTCCTTCATGAAGCAAACATTGCCATTATTGTTTTTTTTTCATGATCTACACTTTGTCTTTGCTGTTCCTTCAGGAGGCATTCATTACTCTTGCTGTTCTTCATGTGAGGCACATGTTGACCTTGCTGTTCCATCGTTTAACTTGTCGTATAGAGATATGTATCTGCTAAAGAGGTTTTCATATATAAGTTTTCATTTCACTAAGATATACAGTGTACCTACGTATAATCTACACATTGGACAACTATGAGTACTAAGTCTTACATGCATGATACTGGATGAAGTTTTCAATTTAAACCCATTATTTTAGGAAAAAACTAAGAAAGAATTGAAGGGTAAGACTGAGAAGTCTGAAACCGATCGCAAGAGTGAAAGACGAGAGAAGAAAAAACAGAAGAAAATAAGAATCAAAGAAAAAGAGGCGAGAATTAAAGCAAAGGAAAAGCGCAACCCAGGAGTGACCACCCAGTCCAAGAAACAAGCATTGGAGAAACTGAAAAAACAAACTAAATCGGGAAATTCAGTAACCATAATAAAGGTGAGCTATAACTCTTATTAAGGGCATTTTACAGAATGAAGTAGCTAGTAACTTGACCAGGTTTGGTAATCCTCTCAAAAAGATACCTATTATTCAATGCCTCACATCACAAGGCTGGCATATTGCTGTTAACATTTGGAAAGGAAAGCAAAAGCTGTCAGATCAGAAACTTTTGGAGCTGAGTAGCTTCATCTTAATATTGATCAGTACAGAACATATTTTCTTTATAGACAATTATGGATAACTATGGTTTTTGTGTATGCTTAAATTCATGAATTGTATTCTAAACAAATATTTTTTCAGGATTCTGACCATAAAAAGAGCTCTCTGACATCTTCCAAGGCATTCTTCACAGAGCTACAAGAGGGAATCAAAGCGAAGGGAAACAAGATTCCAAAGACTAAGAATAATAAGCATAAAAATGCAACAGCTTCAAAATTAAAACTTTAATAATTGAACAATAATTGATTTATGGACGACATGCACAACACTTTGAAGGAGAGAGGACCCTTTTATAGTCTGAGAACTAATTTCATCAACATGTGAATTCAAACTTTAAAGTGCAATTGATGGCACAGTGATGGAACTATAATACACTTAGCCCAATGCTACAATAGTGTAGTATTTATGCCATCCTTAATAATTCTAAATATTTTTCAATACATAATGATATGTAACTTGGACAATTAATAAGCTTGGCCAAAAAATTTATTTTCTGTAATTATCAAAGCCTAAAAATATTTCTTATCTAGAAAGCACTGAAAGATTCAAAATTGAAAAAATGCATATTTTCAGTAATGCAATTCATAAATTCTTTTCTCTGGGTTATTTAAAAAGAAGGTTTGTGTCCTCGTCAATTGAATAAAAATATATTAAATGCACTTTTATGGATATTTTTTTGTTTAAGATGAGAATAACAGTTTAGCCCTTAACAGGATAAATGGGATGCATAAAAATGAGTCAACTTCCATACATTTATGAAATGAATCATCAGGAAAAATACATGCACAATATCATGGAACTATATTTGTGTTCATTGGATTGATAACATATATAACAATCATATTTTTATTAAAGTTTGATGAGATTGTTTTATGATTGTAAGAATGAGATCTAAGCATATGGGTAAGGTTGGTCAGTATGAATAAAGAATAAAAATATGATAAATAATAAACCATATATTTGTTGTACTTGTATATATGAAGTCAATAGGGGTGTCCTCAAGACCTAAATAAACAAGGCACAAAATAGACCAGCAAAACCTCAGCCAGAGGATATTTTACCTGTCTATAGACACCTTGTGAAAAATTACATTTTAGAAATAAATGCTCAGCAGCCTTGTGTGCATTCTCTTGATGTAAAAGAATTGCTTTAAGTAGTATTTTATATTATTACCATCTTATGATGCATTAATGATGAGTTAACATTAAAATACAAGTTATATTTCTTTAAATGAAGACACTTCTTTTTGCCAAAGTATTTTCTCTGCTGCCTCATATTGCAGTTACCAAGTCTGTGTCTACAGTGTCCACTTTGATCCCTCTAACTTGGAACTCCAAACTGTTTGCAAAGTGAAATGGCGTTCTTTGCTACACTCGGAAGAAGTGGAAGTTGTCACCATTATTTTTTGTTACCGAAACTCCTACAATTTCCCTGCTCATCACCCCCATTTCTTAACTTTGAGAGACCAGTTAGACAGTTGTCATGGTGATGAATTGACTTTTCACATTGATTTGATGACTTGCTAACTTGACCTTTACAAAAAATTTCATTGAAACTGTTCTTTTAGTGATTTCGTTCCTTTAAGATGATTTTATAGAAAAAAATTTGCAATGTGTGAAAAGAATTTAAGCCCAAGACTCGATGCATTGTAGGTGTTTCATTCCACTCAGGCGTTGCATGACCGCGCAGCGGGAATGCAAAGTTTAGGAAACAACACCTTCATGGTATGATACAGCAAACAATGCACAGAGTCCAGGGCTTTAATTCTTAAACTAGATCAATTTAACATGCCTGGCATTGGAGCTAAAACAGTAAAAAGATGATAGTTTTTCTTATATAAATTGCTTTATTTGATCACATACAACACTTAGCTGCATGACACATAGTGCACAAATTATTCCAAAAGGAATGTCTCAATTTCTTCCTATGAATGATTTCATGATTATTCATATCAACATTTTAACATGAATATCAAAGAATATCAAACTACAGAACAACATTTACAGTAATTTAACTTGTGATCTTGAACTCGTTTTATAGAGTTTTAGTCATTCATCAAATCTAAGGTCCATCTGATTATTTCTTCCATAAAGTAAGTGAATGGGTACAACATTGACGCTTTATTGCATGCAAGATCTATAACTCAAAATTGGGTACATCTTTCATAAGTCCATTGTGTAGCTATAAACTTCAAGGAAGATCGGCTAGGATTCCTTGCTTATTCCCTAGCAAACCTCAAGATAAGTGCCCAGCTATAACACAACAATGACATGACATAATCAGCCAATCGTGAATTTATAGCCAGTTCTGTTGTCAAACAATAATGTCAACGATATTTTGATTGCCACCTTGAATGTACTAAGCAAACTTTCACTCAGAATTGGAAAGGAATCTTGGCCAATCCTCCTTTTGTACACTTAAGAATACAGTAACTATAGCAAAAGCTTTAATAATGAATCTGTCTGAATGATGATTATAATTGAGTAAATATGATATCTTTTGATTTTTTGAAATTATTTTCAAGCTGCAGGGGCCATTGTATTTGACCATGAATTAAAATTCAGCCTTTTTAGTCTGTATAACATTTAGCACATGTAGGATTTCAAATGGCAGTCCATTGTTCATATTTCTCATGAAACTGTGTCTAATACGTCATCAGCTAACCATATCTGTACGCCATGAATCCCACAGAGATAAGTGCAGCAGCTGTTGCGCTGGCAATTACAGGCCATTTAGAAGTCTGCAAGTAAAAAATATAACATTGTTCATACAGGAGAATGTATATGGTAGTCTTGTATCGAGCCCTTATGAGCACCCACTACCTACAAACATACACAGCTTCTTAATATATTTGTGTCAAGACTCATACAGGTCGTGGTGTTGCCATCTTTTAATCACTAATAACTGAGTATTAAGCTAGAACTTTAATATTGTTGTATATATACAGCTGACCAGAATTGGAACCTGATTCTATGTCATGGCCAAAACAACTTGAATCAGCCTAAGTCATGCATTTTGACCCATTTCACCCCTTATCAAAAGACATGTATCTCACCCATGAACTTGAAGGCTTCACCTCTGGTAGTTTATCAGCTCCTATCATCTTTTTGTAAAGGTCTTTCTCCTTTTCTTCTTCTTTCTTTTGCTTATTAACAAGTTTTGAGAGCTCAGCATGTATGATCTACCAAAGAGAAAGCAGAATTGGTCAACATACAGTGTATTAAGTGGAACACCTTTGGTACCTCTGTAAGGGGAACACCTCACTCACCTCACCTGTTGTGTACAGTAAAACCTGTATAAGTGGTGTGGTAATTCTGCAAGTGTTCCACTTAGAAGGTGTTCCACTTGCAGAGGTGTATTACTTTAAAGGTTTAACTGTATTTTATTTCAGATAATTCAGATCCAACAAAAGTCATTGCTTTTAACACATTTTCTTTAGATTGAGTCCAGTTCATTATATGTATTTTTGACTGTAAAAGGTCTGGCTAGTTCATTTATATGATTGAATTACCTTAAATCATTTAAATGGTTTTACAAATATTACCTTTGTTTCAGGCTCTAGTTTGACAGCTTTTCTCAAACATGCAATTGCTGCTGAAGTTTCTAGCTTGGCAGCAAGGGCCTGAAAGTAACAACATATTATGTTAACTTACATGGGAGCAAGTTCATTACTATTCATGTTGCTTACTATTATATTACTTACTACTGTAAAACACTTTAAATTTGCAGGAGCAATTTTTGCGAATTTGTACATTTGATTATTTTCGCATATTCATGTATTTGGGATTTGTATTAGAAGAAGATTGGGAGATTGGATTTGAAATTATGTGTATTTACAAAAATTTGAAAATACTTTTTCAAAATCTAAAATGGCCTCAAGTGGGTCAAGTTTGATATTATCATTATATAACTCAGTGAGGGGAAAACATGACAAATAGTACATAAATAGACATGAAACACAACTTTATCAATATTCAATATCCAACTATATAAGAACATTTACCAAAAGGCCAAAGAGCATTACAAAATGCAGCTAGAAAATGAAACATCTAAATGTAATTTTCAAGATTATAATTTCCAATAATTAATGGAATGGTGAATGTTTTCTCATTTTTATTGGATGTGTATATTTACATATTATGGAAGAATACATAGTTTAAAATGGAAATATTTTGATAAAATGGAATAGACATGCTTTTTCAATTTTTCTCTTAAAGTGTGGAACTATGTTAAATGTTCTTTAAGTGTAAATACTCATAACTCACTTTGCCTTTGCGGAATAAAGCCTTCACATTTTCAGGCTGGACTCTTAATACAAATTCACAGGACTTGATAGCAGCATCATTTGCATCTACCTAAAACATACAAAAATCATAAATCAACATGCACATTTATCAAAATACATGGAAGATAAATGGACATGGATATATGGAGTGGAGGGGGCTATGACACAAATAGTAGAACAGTAAATCCTGTCTAAGTGAAACACCCTTCGTACATCTTTAAAGTGATCTACTTGGGAGAGCTTTCATTGTAAATTACTGAATACTGAAGACATCTCCAATTACAAGGGGGTATATTCTTGCATCTTTTATAGTTAGTTAATTTTGTAAGAGTCCATGATATCACTTCCTGTCTGAAATCTTAAGAGATGGCAGCCCACTTGCAGACATGAAATTAAATGTACAGTAAAACCTGCGAACAGGGAATGCTCTTGGGACTGGAGGAAAGTTTCCTTGTTCAGAGGATAGAGAGGGGCCACACTTTCAGCAAACTCAAACTTGCCGAATAAGCATATTTGTATATATAAAGGCATGTAAGAACTAAATTTCAAGTTTCATCAACCCCATTTTATATCATTGATAATGTAGAAGTTTGGATCAGTAAATGATTTAAAGAGATTTGGCTCAACATGACAGATGTACTTATCTGTTATCTCCATAAAACAATTGTGCCAGTCCCTAGATTATCACAACTGATTAGATGTAATTGGGTTTGTTGAAAGGAAGAATTAGAGTCATGATAATAAGTAATGAACAGATAAGTATTAGTTTTAAAAATATCAGGTTAATTAACAGTGGGTGGGATGCTACATCCTGTGAACAATTGGCTTATCTTAATCTCATTCATATTAATCCAAGCTTTTTAGAATCAGATATTGACTTAGGACTTTCATACCCCTGAAAAATAATGGAATATACAGTGTCACCAATATTCCATATTCCTTGTTCACAGGTGAATTTTCATAATTTGCCCCAAAATAGTGTTCCTTGTTCCCTGTTCACAGCTTTTCCCTACAGAGAGGGTCCATTAACATGTAAGTAAATGGAAAAATATTTGGTTCATATTTCCTTGTTCATAGGTTTTCCCTACAGAGAGGTATTCCATCGGGCATGTTTTACTGTACATTTTTAAATGATCAATATTGACCATATCAAAATTTCCCATTTTTTGCTTTATATGATGAGCTAACATAGTTAAGCTACCATATCAGGAGACAAATGCTCTGGCAAGGAAATTATTCCTTTAAGGAGCCGACCATCGACACTTTGAAAATATGATACCAATGACATTGACTGTGTAAAATAAAAAAAATATCTTTGAGAATGGTGGTGTTATAAATACTTTGATTGTCAGAGCTGCTGCAAAAAGGATTCTAATGGTCAACAAAAAGTCACTAATGAAGGAATTTGGAGGTCCCCTGGACCTTGGAAAAGAGTGGGGTCGAATGTTACTAAAAATAATGTCTAAGGATATCAAGCGACTTCCTGGAAATTTTGAGGAAATCAAGAAGGAATACATGTATGTATACAGGATTAAAACTGAGTCAAAGATACATAAAATAAATTATTGTTCCATATGTCGAATCCATATGTGATGATTTACCATGAGCAAGGCAAAACCAACTTGCGTTGGCAATTTATGTCAAACAATTACTTAAACAGCACAACATAAAAATAATGATTATCCCATTTGCTAACTAGAAAAACAGCAACTCCACGGAGTAGCAAATCCCACCGAACAAAACATATTATGCTTATTATAGCTAGTGTAAATTTTGGAATGTTTGTGCACTTTGTGAAATTAAGCGGCCATCTTGAAAAATTTTTGTCGATCATAGCTACTGTGTCCCTAAGCATCATCATATAAAATTTGAACCAAATCTGTTCGCTGGTATTTGAGTTATCAAAAATTACATATTTTTACGAAAAATTGCCACCATTTTGAAATTAAGTGGCCATCTTGAAAATCTCTTTTTGTGCGAAACTCCTTTGTCCCTAGGCATCAGCATATAAAATTTGAACCTAATCCGTCGACTTGTATTTGAGTTATCAACGATTACATTTTTACGAAAAATGGCGGCCATTATGAATTGAGCGGCCATATTGAAAATTCCTTCTCGAGCAGAGGTCCTACACTCATAAGGCATAAGCCTATAAAATTTCAACCAAATCCGTCAACTGGTATTTGAGTTATCGCCCGGACACACGGACGGACGAACGGACGGCTTCTCTATATCCCCCTCGAACTTCGTTCGTTGGGATAATTATCGCTAATTCAGGCCCGTAGCCAGAATTTTCCAAGGGGGATTCATTTTTCTAAAAAATTCTAGGGGGGGTTAACTTTGGCAAATATGGCCAAAAATCACTCAAAAATTAGTCAGAATGGTGAAAAACTGCATGATTTTGAAAGAAATTTTGGCCAGGGGGGGGGAGGGGTTCGCCCGAACCCCCATGGCTACGGGCCTGTAATTGCCCAGATAATCTCCAAATGTTTGCCCAGCTGTTTGTAAGTTTGTCATTTCCTAACTGTTATAATACCCTAACAAACAATGGACCCACTTGCAGTGGCATTTGCTAAACAAGGCCAATCAGCGGCTCTGAGACATTCTGTTATAAACCAGGCTAATTAACTGTTAATGATCTGGGGGTTATATATAGCAGAGACATACTATCTCATGATTATGTAGCTATATGGATATACCAACAAACGAGGATACAGCTGAGGGATATGAGAGGTAAGTGTCACAGACTCATAGAAATACAATGAATTAAACAGAAATTTTTTTCCAGATAGCTTGACTATAATTTGAGGGTTCTTTCTTCCCGGATGGACTAATATAGCGAAAGTATACACAAAGAAATTAAAGATTACAGCAAATCATTTTAATACAGATAACTTTTTGGTACCACACATTATAGCTTTGTATATGTAATCTATCTGTCATAAATTAAAAGTTAGCCCAACATTTGTATTAGATTAGTATGTTAATTGTATTCTAAAGAAGTTAAAATTTATTTAAAGATAGATAGATTTTTATCTTTAAAAGATAACAATGGAAGAAACCGTGTGCCCCTTTACCTTTAGTTGAGCTGCAGCCAGGTTGTTATAGCATTTTAATCTTGTCTCTAACAATGATTGCAGTTGTGTAGTCTCCTCTGCACCATGGTTTTCTGAACTATCATCCAGAATACTTAAAGCTCTATAATGTAAGTAAAAATAGTTAAATGTTAAAGCATGGCTTGAGAGTCTGAATCAATGAGATTGCATGGTTGTAGATCATTATGATGTAAGAGATTTATGCCGCATTAATGATTTAATAAATTACACCAACGATACTCAGCAATATTTTTTTTTTTCAAATTCACATAGGGTTTAAAATTCTGTATTGAGAAAGCAACATTGAGAAACATTATAAGTGCAGGTGTACTTACTTGTTATAAGAATTAAGTGCAGGTGTATTTGCTATAAGAGTTAAGTACAGGTGTACTTACTTGTTATAAGAATTTATGGATGCTGTGAATTCACTTCTGGTGTAGTAATAATTGCCTCTTTCCCGTTTGGCATCTCTATGGAAACACAGTAAATTAACAAATTTCAATTCATAAGATCATTATTAGGAAGACCATTGACACTGTTCCACAGTTAGGGTCATTCAATATGGTTGCCGAAATTCCTTAGTTTTCCTTCAGCTAAACTAAGTTGAATCTTGATTCCAAAAGTTTCATCATGCAAACTAATAAAGCTAAGATTGCAAACAACCACAGATAAATGCTTTAACAACCGCGATATGGGTGAATTTTAAAGAAAACAGCTTCACTTAGAATGACACTAACTGAAGTTGTCATCATTAACTTCAGTGAGAGTCCTTCTAAGTGAAGCCATTTTCTTTCAAATTCTCTTATATTGCGGGTGTTTGGGCATTTATTTGTGGTTGAATACAATCATAGTTTTATTAATTTGCATGGCGAAACTTTTAGAATCAAGATTCAACTTAGTTTGACTGAAATCGGGGTATATCAAAAATAAAAGAATCTCAACAACCATCTTGAATGACGCTAACTGCAGTTAGAGTCATCCAGCTGTGGAACAGTGATAGAGGAATAGACTTTTAAATAATAGCAAGTAGTGCAACAAGTTATTCTGTTAAATCCATTTTATGTTCATACTGTGTGTCAGTACAAAATCTGATCACTAAATCTTGAGGGACAACATATATGTCAAATCTGACAATTATGAACGTAACTGGGACCCTTCAAGCCTTCATAAGCACAGTATTTGGATGGACAGGTGTTCATTTTTCGAGTTTTTTCAATATGTAAGTCTATTGGCATTAACACATGTGAGCTAAAATGGTAAGGTGTTCACATTGAGTGGAGTTTGGGAAAAGTTCCAGATTAGAATAATTGATCATTTTGTTCCAGTTAAGTCTTATATGTATTAATTAAAGTTTATATTATAACATTCATACATACCCTTTAGTAATGCGTTCAGCAATGGATAATTTTTGCACATTGAGCGTTGGTTGCACTTTTAGAAGCTGGACTTCATATGTAAGCTTGGCATCAGGTGGAATGTCAGGTTTCCTGGAAGACAGACACATGTACTGTTAAAGTAAATGGTATACATATGCATATGTGTACAATAGGAGGGGGATTGCATAATGGTTTATCCTAGGGAAAGATATGATATCTGAGTAAGGGTTCATAGAGTTAAATAAGCTCAATTACCTTTCGATCTCAAATGGATGATGATAATTGCAACATTTTTGGCTTCGACAGACCTGATCAACAATTATGTCTATTTCCATGGCTTTTTATTTACTCAATATTTATTATTTTGACGCCAAGTTGAATAACAATACAGTTTTTGCAAGATGTAAAACTAAACTATCTTACAATATAAATGATAAATTTACCCAGCATGCTCAAAACCTAAGAAGATGTTGGCACTACTAATCTGCTTTTGCATCCATAAAAATTTGAAGTTGAATGAGAAACAAATTTCCTGGAATTTTGATGACAAGATTTATGTGCAATAAAAAGCATATACATGTACTCACCTTCCCTTTTCCCCATAGGCATATTTGGCGTCTGTTTTTATTATTGCCTTTTCATTTCTTTCCATTAAAGACAGACAGATATCTAATGCTGAAATAGAAGATGAACAAAATAGCAATAGGAGGAACTGAAAAGGAGAAAATATAAATGAAGTGCAATGTCCGTTACAAAAGAGACTCTTGATTTGAAGAAATCGTTTAAAAGGAAATTGATTGCACTGCACAAGACAACATAAACCTCTACAGATTAATTAATAATGACATTATACTAAAATAGTATAAATTATACAAATTATAACACCAAAACTATGAAAGGAAAATCCCCCCAAAAAATCTCTGATCAACAGAGCAAGCCACAACAATGTACTAACCTTGTACTACATCACCATCCCCAAGTGTGAATGTAAGCTCACTGTTAATATCTACAATCTTGTCACTCTCTAACTTCTCTACACAGGATATTGTCACAATCTCTCCACCAACAGGCCTTGTTTCTCTTCCATCACCCTTTTCAACTATCTAAAATTCATCATAAACACAACTCTTACAATAAGTAAATCACGACAAAATGCTTAACAATTATCATACTTGCAATATTGACAGATATTTTTCCATAAAAACCAAACCTTGAAAATAATTTTAAATACCGAATAGAATGCCTCTAACATATTTTGAAGGCACCTTTTCAATTTGGATTTCGTCATTGATTGTATTGGATTGCGCAAATTACAAACCATTATGAATTAAAACAATGTTGGGGTGATCTAAGGACTTGTGCTACTTTTAAATAAATGATGAATACATGCTTTATCGGAAAGTACATTTCATATAGAAGTTTGGAATGCAAACTGTTTGACATATACGAGGGGTGATCCAAAAGTCTTGGACGCCCTGCTCTATTTTTGTTGGTTTTTGATAAAATTACTTTAAACTTTCCAATAATAAAGACCAACAACCTAACTAATTTGTGTATTAATTTCATGGAGAAATGATATATTTTGTACAGTTTTCTAGATAGTTTTTAACAGGGACCCTGCCACCCGGAACGGTATTCGCACATGGCAACTTTCAGCCTCAAATGTTACCGTCATTTCACTTGTTTCGCAAGTCTTGACCACTATATTTCTTTGAATTTTGTATGTTAAACCATGTTAGTTTACTTCCTTTGTTACTAGGCAACCAATTAATTGTGCTTTAATTATAATGTCACATATGAGGATGGCCATATATGTCACATTCAAATAAAACTAGAAAAACAGCAACTCCACGTGGTAGCAAATCCCACCGAACAAAATATATTTAGATTATTAGTGGCCATCTTGAAAATTCCTTCTTGAGCAGAGCTTGTTTGTCCCTAAGCATCAACATATAAAATGTAAACCATATCCATAAATTAAAATTTGAGTTATCAAAGATTACATTCTTTTTTACTAAAAATGGCGGCCATCAATTCTGCAGTCATTTTGAAAATCTTTCTCGAACAGAGCTATAGTGTCCCTAGGTATCAGCATATAAAATTTGAATTCAGAAAAATGGCAACCATTTTGAAATTCAGCTGCCATTTTGAAAATTCTTCCTCGAACAGAGCTTCTGTGTCCCTACTGTGTTCGCTGGTATTAGAGTTATCAAAATTTTATGGTTTTTTTCACGAAAAATGGCCACCATTTTGAAATTCAGTGGCCATCTTGAAAATTCATTTTTGAACAAAGCAAGTGTGTCCCTAGCCATCATCATATAAAATTTGAACCAAATCCGTTCACTGGTATTTGAGTTATCAAAGATTATGTTTTTTTAACGAAAAATTGCCGTCATTTTGAAATAAAGCGGCCATCTTGAAAATTCTTTGTCGAACATAGCAACTGTGTCCCTAGGCATCATCATATAAAATTTGAACCAAATCCGTTCACTGGTATATGATTTATCAAAGATTACGTTTTTTACGAAAATTGGCCGCCATCTTGAAATTCAGCCGCCATCTTGAAAATTATTTCTTGAACAGAGTTACTGTGTCCCTAGGCATAATCATATAAAATTTCAACCAAATCTGTTCACTGGTATTTGAGTTATCAAAGATTACGTTTTTTACGAAAAATTGCCGCCACTTTGAAATTAAGAGGCCATCTTGAAAAATTTTTGTCGAACATAGCAACTGTGTCCCTAAGCATCATCATATAAAATTTGAACCAAATCCGTTCACTGGTATTTGAGTTATCAAAGATTACATATTTTTACGAAAAATGGCTGCCATTTTGAAATTAAGTGGCCATCTTGAAAATCTCTTTTTGGGCAAAACTCCTTTGTCCCTAGGCATCAGCATATAAAATTCGAACCAAATCCGTCGACTTGTATTTGAGTTATCAACGATTACATTTTTTACGAAAAATGGCGGCCATTTTGAATTGAGTGGCCATATTGAAAATTCCTTCTCGAGCAGAGGTCCTACACTCTTAAGGCATAAGCCTATAAAATTTGAACCAAATCCGTCAACCGGTATTGGAGTTATCGCACGGACACACGGACGGACGGACAAACGGATGGACGGACGGCTTCTCTATATCCCCCTCGAACTTCGTTCGGTGGGATAATGACATCTGACAAGCAACCTTCATTCTGGTATCATTTGTGCTCCAAGATGGCTGCTGAAATGCAGAACATGAAAGAAATCAAAGTGGAACAAAGAATACTACAAGATATTTTCACTATTATTGACCTTGACCAGCTACATAATGCATGATACAGTCTATTTATGGCTCCATGTAATTTTCTTCCTTTTCTCCAAAGGATGGTTGAAAGAAAGTGTTTCTTACTCATTGAATGAGGTTTAGAGTAGCACTCCAGCAGCATTTGTATCACATAAGCAATGACGGTTTCATAAATGTCTTCCATTCATCGGTAAAGTGGTATGAAAAATGTGTTTAAATTCGTGGAAAATATGTTGAAAAATAGGTCTTAATATGTGAAGATGATGATGGCAGATGACACTCAGATTGAAAATCGAAAATTCTCTCATATCATGGCTGGTGTTAGGTTGTACACCTGCATCTAAAGTATTTGCCATATTATAACAGTTGTGACGTGATTTGCTATGTTTATATACCGTTCCGGGTTGCAGGGACCCGGTATTAAAAGATATGTAGAAAAGTAGCTAAAATATATTATTTTCTGTTTAAACTTATACATAAAATTGTTAAGATGTTGATCTTTATTATCTGAAAGTTTCATGTAGTTATATTAAAAAATAGCAAAGTTAGAGCGGGGCGTCCAAGACTTTTGGATCACCCCTCGTAACCTTTTCAACAGAGACATAAGTTGAGATTTTCAATAAAAAGTATTCAATTATAACTATTTTTCAATCTAAAACTAATCTGAAGATTTTTCAGACCATAAAATGTATATTTAGCTTCAAGTACCTTTTTCAGTAGAGAATCATTTCCTAATACTTGCATCCACTCTTCTTCTTTGTCATTACTTTCTTCTATTGCATCATTGGAATGTTCAGTAGTGTTATTACCACTGGTTGAACCAATGGGTGGTTCAGGCTGGTCATTAATACTGTTATTTGCTTCTGGTTCAGTTGAGCTATCACTGTTCTTATTGCCTGATGCTTCATCACATTCAACTTGTGTTTCACCAGTCTGTTTATTGTTTGCTATATCTTCTTTATCTGCAACAGGGTCACCTCCTCCCTCATCTTTGACTGTTTCATTCACATCATCAGACATAGGGTCATCTTTTGCATGTTTACTGGTTTCATTTTCCATTCTACCTCAATTTATAGACGAGTCCTTTCACTAGATCGTCAACACCTGAAAAATGGAACAAAGTTATTGTTACATTTTCCAAAATGACTGGTGCAATTGCCATAAAAATATTCTTGGTATACACTAGTATACAAGGCAAAAACAAAGCATTAGATTAAATTGTACCTGAAAAATAATTATGGTTATGCAAGGCATAAACCTTCATTTCAGCAATGGTATTAAAAAAACGGACACTGACATAATCGATGAGATGCATACTCTGTTAAATGAGACTAAGAGGAAACTTGGGAATACGAAGATAGTTCTATCTTTACCACTACCAAGAAGCAATAATGAATTATGGAACATAATTATGTTATTGTCATTTGAAGAATGTAATCCCTATTTTCTTTACTTTATTGCTATATTTACTGTTATTGAAAATTGAATATCGGCTGTTCTAATCAGTACTAATAAAATCCTATTATATATATTATAACCTCCAGTACAGCTACAATACCACACTATATGAAGGGATATTCATTATAGGTAGGGGGAAAAAGTCTGAAGTTATGGCAAATAGATCAAAGCTGAAATACAGGAAAAAATAGTGAACATTAACAATAACATGACAAGACTTCAATGTATGTTATTCTCAATTGCGAGGAAATCTCACAAAGTTAAATTGGCATGTGTTGCCCACAGATTTGTCCAATGTGTCTTGAAAGATGAAAAGAGGATATCTATCAGGAATCCAGATGATCTAATCCAAATTGAAGCATTCTATTAGGAAATGTATACATACCTCCAGAATTGTCAAAACATGCATTTTAATATAATTTTGATGATGTTAAAGGGGCAATAAGGACTGTAGAGAGAAAATTCGAATTTTTTTATTTTTTCTGAGCTATCAGGTCAATATTTGGCTTAATACCTTCTTTGACATACCTATTTTCATAAAATGTATGTATAAACTATCAATTTCAGCATTAAGAAGTCTTAATTCAATTCAAAGCTTCTATAAAGGGAGTCCCACTTATAGATTTTTAAGATCCACCATGTTTCAAGAGGAATATCAGCTGAAATAATGTTCATCCAGAGGGTTTCTTTGTAGATAATGAAAATATATGTTAGTCTTGATGAAATATCCAAACCTAAATATATTTTCACACTTGTCGATGATCGTTGAATGGCCCCCCTGCACTATTTGTAGCACCTTTAAGCAGTGCATACTAAACTTTAAAAGCGATGAAAATAATAAGTAACATTGTTGGGAGATTTACACAAAAACAGGTGACAAAGATGTTCTATAACATCAAGAATATTTTGATGAAAATGAAACACTTATCTACCAGGGAACAAGCTCAAAAACCATTTTAATTATTTTTTTTAAAATACCTTGGTACTATATACTATATATCTTTGATTTAAACCTTTGACATTTGAGTTGGACCACTAATTAAGATCCCAAAGGTCATACGAAATAAACATACACATTTATATGAATTTAGGTATAAATATACTTTTACACTAAAGCAATAAAGAAAACAGCCCCGAAACTCCCCATATCCCCTGATCTACTACAGAATAACAGAAAAATCAAAATAATGGAAGATGGAAGAATACGGAGGAACTGAAAATTAAACTGAAAGACATGGATTTTATGAGTAATGCTTTTAAGCAAAGACCCAATACAAAATGGTCAGTGTACAGACTGACTAATGTGAGGTATGTGGTGACCAGACTTGATTTCCCTATGGGTGAAGGGGTTATGCTCATAGGTTATATCAAATCTAAGAAATCAGTTGTGGGCCTAGCTAAAGATACAAAAGGTGTCCCATATAACGACTCCCTTTGCCTTTTCCATTGCCTTGCCTATCATCAACTTCAATCCTTTCAAAATCTTGAAAATCGAGTTGACCAATTAGTTCAAAAATGGCCCAAGGAAGACAATTTTAAGGGCGTCTCCCTTTCCCAAATTCCTGAATTTGAGGAAACCTACGAAACATCAGAACATCAGAACATCCGTCAAATGTTTTGTCAGTGATAATGTAGATGAATTATTTAGTGACAAGGTCAAGTACCTCCAAGATATTCAAAGTAACATATATGAGATCATGACCTCCAAATTTTCACGAACTTTTGACCTTCTCAACTCCAAAATTAAGCGACTCAATGACATTGTTAGTGGTAGAAAATCTGATGATTCCTACAGAGGTCATGACAAAGAAGAATGCCTGACTGGTGATGAAGAAGCATCGCCCGAATTTTTAGAAAAAGAGAATATTTACAAAACTTAACTCTAAACACTGTGTTAATGACCAAGACATGGCATGCAGTATGGACAGTGCAAGTGTTTATTCAGCCATGGACATTAACACATCAGACATGACAGTGATACATCATCTGAGAGTGATAATGATATGACCGACGACAGTGACATTGGTCAGAGGGGAAATAATAGTGATTTTATCGAAGATGACATGTTGAATGTACTTTCAAAAATACTAAAGGGTCATCTAGCCCAGGCCCAGGCCAAAACTCTACTCAATAGGTTAGATGAATATTGCTCACAAATTCCGGTAATATCATTTAATGGTGCCAAATATGATTTGAATTTCCTGAACCTGGGGGTATCATTGGACAAATTTGTAAAAGCATACGGGGCCAATCTGACCAAATCATACTATATTTCTTCTCATGTGAAGTACCTGTTTTTGCTATATGATGTTAGTCAAAGGATTATTAATATGATATAAGAATTAATGAAACCAATTTTCAAAATTAATTGCAATTTTTAATGTGATATGTAGTCACATTGATTTATATTCTGATAATTTAGTATCCAAAAATGCATTTACAGAAGAAAAATGTTTGCGAACGCAAGAGGATCTGTGGAAAATGTCGAAGAATATATTTACTTAACACTGAGAGATATGACGAATATGGGCAGCCATCATCTTCGCACAATTGTTTTGAAAGCAGGTAAATAAGTACAATAGAATATGTATTATTATGTAAATTGATTTGAGTGGAGTCTATTATTTGGACTGACAAATAAAAAGCCTAATACATTTAAGATTAAATAATCATGTATTCAACAATGTATCCCTGGGAATGTATCACAGTACGGAAAATCCAAATTGAGAGAAAAATTGGATTATCTTTAATAAAATTGATTTGAAACTATATTTTGGATACAAAGTCTTGCAATGTACCCCGTGATAGACCCTAGGGGGGGGGGCAATCTTTCAGTTTTGGAGGGAGATATTCCGGCCAATGAATTAACCCTTATGTCATGTGTTTTATGTCTTGTGTTTTAGTATTTTTGATCATTTTCTGCACTTTAGATGTGACAATATATCATTTGAATATATGTGATGATGTACTTTGACTTCAGGTAGTACACAAAGTTATCATGCGATTTATATTTGGTTTTGTTTTTATATATTGAATGAATATTTATGATATAATTATTCCAATAAAAATGTTTAGCTCTTGGGTACAAAAGGTTAATGTGGGAGGGACTTCAGAGGACAGAAAATTCATCTTCTCAGAGTTATCTCTCAGAAACATATGTTCCGAAATGGAAAAAATTAGAGAAACTGTTGAAAAGCAAAGGGGCAACTTCAGGGAAGTTGTTATAATACCAATAGCAAATAGGGTATGCCTGGCCATTGGTAAAAGCGTAGTTACCGCTCAACATTGGGAGTGCAATGAGAGCAAGGGTGAATGGGGAACAAATGGCAATTCCCATAAGGGTATTCGTGGATGAGTTCCTTACCTTTGTAAAAATGGCAATTGAGGAAATCGAAGACTTTAGAAAGCAGGATGCGCCAGGGAAAAAAGGTGCAACAAAAAGACCGTTAAATATTGAATCTCTGTGACCAGGGAACAACCGGCCCAAGCCTCCCAAAGACATTCCAGAGTGTCGATGAACAAGCCTGGGGCAAATCGAGAATTGCCCAGCCCTTCATTCTCCAAAACTGAAGCCCAGATGACCCAAACCGTCCGCCCAAAGATCCCAAGGACTGTCCAAAGTATCCACGATCAAGCCTGGGGCAAATCAAGAATTGCCCAGCCCGTTAAAGGATACATAAGTAAAGATTTAAGCAATTATGGTTTATACATTACCCTTAGTTAATGTGATAATTTTAATATTTTTTTATTAAAAAAACTGACCTTGACTACAATAGTTTTCAGATCATAAACAATTTTTTGAATGGTCAAATTTCCCACTACAGTTAAAATCAAAATAACAAAAAAACATTTTTTTGGAACAATTTGGTAAGATAATAATTATAAATTTTAGGTAGTTTAAATTTTAATTGGGACCTTTAAAGAAATATTTAGAAGAATTGCATAATGGATTTATGTGCCAACCGGGTATATATTGGACTTACAACCTTTTGCGGCCTTTAATTCAATCATGACTGTGTATTTGCTAGTGACTGTAAACAAGGAAGGGAATATGGAGTTTGCAGTAGATGATTTCTAATGGGAAGTGGGAACAAAGCATAAACAACTAAATATCCCGATCGAAATAAAAAAGTGTGTCATGGACACCGACACATTTCTTTGTCATAGCAACTATTTTGAATTCTAGAGTCGGTTTCCACATACCTCAATAGGAATATGAATCGTAAGTCATATTTATTCAAAACTAATTTTTTGTTGGATATATTGATCACATTTTCGTCAAATCACAAAAAATGTCAAATTACAAAAATATGTGTTCATTGTTTTTTCAGTGCTGGCGTGTGCTATTCACCATCTGAAATGGAGGGGAAATATTTTGATTGGCCATTATTTTGAAAAAAAGGTAAAATTCAACGATGTTATTGTGCTAAATGCGGTGAACGTCAGAAAATTTATTTCGGAGACGAGTGTGTTGATTGTTTCTGTACATGGCTCTTCACTCCTAATCATGAAGGCTACTTGACGATAGCTTACAATTTTAGGTAAGTGTTATACATTCTACACTTTTAGAATGTTTCACAATATTCTTAACAATCATGTTATGAATAGTGTGAATAATTTTACAATAGTTTTTTATATAAATGTGGTTGTTTATGAACGTGTTATATTTGGAATTGATAGTCAAAAAGATGCTTGTTTTCTTTGCAGAGGATACGATTCATATTTCATCCTCGACAGAAAGGAAACGGCATATTGTCACTACAAACCGCCACAGGTTCTACGTCAAGGTTCACTGATCATAGTACTAAAGGACCCATCCACGGGCTTAGAGTTCAGGAATACACTGAATTACATTCAACTCAAATTAGCCGACTTTCCAAAGTGTTTTGGTCTCCAGGGTGTAGCCAAAGGTTAGCAAAAGACAATATAACACATAATATGTACAAAAAATGTTACTTCTTAATACTCACTAGACAAACACTAGAACACTAGAAAAAAAGCTGTTGATGTTAATAAGTATAAATCTTTCTATTTTAATAGGAGAGTTTCCCCATCTTTTTAACCAGAAACAAAATTACAACTACCGTGAAGGAAAATTGCCACCTTTGAAGTTCTATGACCCAGACAGTATGATGCCTGATAAGAAAAAATCGTTTATACAATGGTACAACTCTAAGAACACTGAACTAAAAGCTACCAATAGCTTGTGGGATTTCAAAACAAAACTGGGTAAGTTACAGAATAAATGCTCTAATACATTAGATGTATCGATTATAAACGCACAACATAATATTCAAAGAATAATCAACCTATTGTTAAATTTCAGAGAAATACTGTATCTCTGATGTGACAGTCCTACGACTTGGAGCACTTTGTTTTGTCCAAGAAGCCAGTTCCTTGAGTAAAGTTTACAGAGCGCTTTACATGCCACCAAAGTCCATTGCAGTCATACCACCAAAAGGTAGCAATTACAATAGTATGTGCTCACTACATTTATGAATTTTCTTTGTTATCCTGTATATGTTGCGTGGATCCATGTCAGAGGGCAATAATAAGCGTAAAAGTGAGTCACAGTGATAGGTTTCAGATCAAATGGACTCCCTATGCGGTGTAATATAATTGAGAGACTAACTGATGTACTAAGATTAGAACATCGACCTTTATTGAAATGTATGTTGACATTCCTAACGAAACCCAGGAGTCAGAATTTCAGTCTCATATCACTGAGAAATAAGGCCAGTGCTGTTAAATTCATGAGAAGCCAACCAGGGTTTCCGAGGTAGATAAGAATTTTAGAAATACATTCATTAAATTGTATAAGTTATGAGAATATGATTAACACAGTATTGTATATATGTTATAAAATATATAAAAATAAAGCACCACCTATGCACATGATTTCTACAGCAAAAGTCGGATACTGGCGAGTGGTCGGTGGAAGATTTTCGAAGGAAACGTTGATTGCGAATACACAAAAAGCAATATATTGTCTAAACTATTTTTTCAATCTGTATTTAGTAGTATGCTTTTTGTTTTAAATGAAAATGCCTGTGTTTGTGATCAATCAACTTTAGACTGGTTAAGTAATTATTGGGATATACCCCATACTGATGTTCTACTTTTCAACAGTAGCACTTTTAAGAGAATTATCTCTAAATACTTATAGTACAGTTTATTATACACTGTTCATTGCATAATATAAATTCATCCTCCTCCTCGTTATCATATCAAAACATGTCTGGATTCACTCTGTACGACATATTCTAATTTCTAATCATGTTCATCACCATTACAACAGGAGTAGTCAGTATGTTACGTATAGGCTGATTGAACTTTTTGCACTTAAGGGTACTAGGCAAAAGTACTATACTGGGTCAAAGTAGCCTTAAGATCATGACCTATTCCTTTTACTAAGCAGAGTATGTTGTTCTTTACAAGGGAAGTTCAAACAATAGAATCTATTGTATACTTGAAAGGGATTGTTTGGCTGGTTTATTGTTTACTTTAGAAGAAGGGCTTTGATTGAATTGTTTAGATGTATGTATAGGTAGACCCTAATTAGAACGGTTTGAAGTGTAGTATGTGAAGATGTCATTGGGTTATTTAAAGAATGCCAAATGGTCAAATAATCCAGACAATGTATGTACAGTCACAGACTATTTATGAAGAATTAACGAGCAGAGTATGTTGTTGCTGATCGATTAGGTCATGACCTTCTGCTTTACTTGGCAGAGTATATTGTTCTTTACAGGCAGTTCAAACACATTTTTTGGGGTTATTGTTAAATGAATTTCCATATGGGATATTAACAGTCGAATGCCCTTGAACATTGGCAAAACACAGACAGTCCGTATATGTCGCAGACTTTACAATTCAATTGAACTTATTTGGTTAAAATATTATAGGAATGGCCATTAATAATATTTTGGCCATTTGAGACGTCAGTACGTTAGATTCAGACATTCAGCAACACATTTTAATTTTACATTTTACTTTTACATTTCATCATGTTCATCAGTCTATATATTTTAATGGATTTTATGAACCAGTTGATCTATAATAATAAAGAGTAAGTATTTTAAAAATAATTACGAGAGTATACAAAATGCTTAATAATTACATATATCTTAAAATGTTGTCATACAATTACCTCAACTTTTTCATTAATGTACAGCTAGACCAGTAGCTTTAACAATCGAAACATGTTTATGTAAACTGTTTTTGAAACCGATAAAATGCCATTTACTGATTAAATGACAATTAAGTTGTATCAATATCAACAAATATTGTTTATAGGGTAGAGGATTGGGAACCTCAATTTTACCCCACCAAACGGGTAGATGGCGGTTGGGTGGTCGATGGTATAATATACCAAATGCCTACAAGGCCCCCCCGCATTTGATATGTGGGGCCTAGAAGATGATTCTTAAAAAGGTAATATAGTGACTTGTATACAGCTCAGATGTAAATATGTAAGAATTATAATTATAAATATCTATTGCAAGTTTTCCAAAAAACATTTGAATTAATATTAATATGTTTTTTTTCCAGGTGAACAAAGTATACACTATGTACAGTTAGTAATCATTTAAGTTACGACTGTTAATTCCTCAGCTGCCGTTAGAGGAACGCAATTGCCTCTCCTATTTTCCACTTGACCACTCTAATCAAGAGGGAATGTTGAATTATATGACCTGTCAATACTTTAATAACAATGATGTACACTGACTATATGGCCTTTGAGCCTATATCAGTGAACAAATGTACATATATAGCTATTTTTTCTATTTTAATAAATTTAAAGAGCATTTAAGAATTGAAAAACTGCATTCAAGAAGCATGCGATACATAGAATCAGTTTAGGGGTCAGGATCAGAGTATGTGATCACCTGTGTTGATCACCAAGACCTCAAATATCCTGAGTTAGTGAGAAAAGCAATCTGTCCATATATGCAGTTTTATGCAGATTGTTAGGTCCAGGATGCTCTCTACCTGGATAGACTTGGTGCAAGAGGTGCCCTAGACAGATTGGCACAAGGAGACAACAACACTCAGATAAAACTTACTCATGTCCTACATGTTTTATTAGCTATTCTCTGGACAGACACTCTTAGAAATGTGGCAGAGAGATCATAAATTCTAAATTGCACATGGGCATGCTAAAACAAGAATAGCAAAGACACCACTATGATGCTGTTAGGCATATGATGCCATCTGTTGATGGAAGGCAGGCGGCAAGAGAGCTGAATCTTCCAGCATATGCAAGCAGTTCAAGTCAACAGGTAAAAACTTATATTCATCTTGTCATAAACACACTGGAACACCGTGACAACGGTAAAGTCAGGAAATTTTCACCAACAGACTATAGTTTAAGTTTACAAAAGTATAGAGCTACACGTTTATGGTTTAGTGTATAAACTGAATGATACAGTGAAAAGGTGAATACTTAGTTATTACATGTTGTTCTATGTAATTTCAGCCAAGCACTTCCCACCCAGTGCAATGTGCTGTTGATGAAAATATAACAGTGTTACAGATCAGCAAACTCAAAAATGATATTGAAGAAATAAAGGAAGAAGTTGTTTTAGGGGTAAATCATTTATTTTATATGTACAGAGCTGACACAGTACAGATATCATCAAACAAAAGTTAATTGTAAAGGCTAATACCTTGAATTTATTAAATTAAAATGTTCACTACATTGAGCTTCAGAAAACTCTGTGAATGTATTTTAACCATGTATCAATTTAAGAACAAATATTCAGCAAGGTGTGTTGCAGAGTCTTACATAACTAACATAGTATGCATATAAACATGATTTGATTGATTTACTTTTTTGACCAATGACTTTCAATTGTTTCTATCCTTAGAAGCGAAAATATGATAAAATGGAAGTCCAAGCTAATGGGTTGAAGCAGACAAACGCTAAACTTAGGAAGAAGATATCCCGGCTGACAAAAGAGAAGATGGCAGCTATTGAAACTTCCGAGTAATATTTGGTGAGATTTGAGTTACTTTAAATAGTGTTCTTTGTTAATTTATTATAACTTAAACACGACTAAACCAGAGTATTGTTACATTCACACCAGTTTTCATTTAGTGTAATGTATGTCTTACTCTAAGATGTGGGGTTATTGAAAATTCAATTTGAAAATCACATGGTTTAGACATGTAAAACATAGTGGAATTTTTAGTATTATTTATTTATTTATTCATTTATTTTATTTTTATTAGGAAGATGTCAATATGCTCTATCAAACAAGGGAGGAACTTGTGGCGCAAATGGAACAGTTGGAGCATATGATACAGGTATGTATATTAACAAGTCTAGTAAAAGCCATATGTTTGAGCTATGTTAACAATAAAATTGCATGATGAATAACATCATTCAAATAAGAAGTCAATATTATCCGCACATAAAGATTAGAAGAGATGAAAGCATGGAGTATTAATTGTCAATATTGAGTACAGTACTTTTTATTATTTCTCTAGGAAGCACAAACCGAGGGAACAAGAGAGAGTGAGAGAGCAGCAGAACTAGCTGAAGCGAGTAGGGAATTAAAGGTAGGACATTCGAAAGTATGTTATATTGTCAGATAAAACTGCGAGTGTATATAAGATGAATGTGCCAAAAATTAATTATAAGATATTTCCAAACATGTAATATTTTCTAAAACATATTCTTTCCTCTATATTTTTACAGAATGTGAAGGAGAAACTCCAAATTTGTAAGATTAGAGAACAAACAAATCACAGAAACAGACTGGTAAGTAAAATTACAATCTGAACATACGTCCTGCACAAATTTTTGGCAACTGAAGTCAATCATTGATTGTCCCTTTAAAGTTCTAATTATTTTCAACCTAACATATAGAAGTGTAACCGAGTACTGTATAAATGTTGAAATAATGCACCAATTACATAAATGATTCAATATCACTTAATCATGAGATAAATGCAACGAGATTCACACTCTAAATGTTTATACTTGTATTGCAACTGTTTTGTTTTCAGAGAGCCGAAAGCATTAACTGTTGGGCAGTAGAAGAGCTACGCATGTCACAACTTGGGAGTAACTCTATCCTACTCTTGAGTGGGCAAAGAAGTACGCTCAACTATATTGTAGAATGCAAACGAAATGATTGCAAATGTGTTTGTGTAGTGCCTGGTGAGTTAATCATCAGGTATAAAAACCAGGATATCAAAAATCCAAAAATAACAAACAATGGGAAAGTGACTGATAGCCTGGGCAAAGACGTTTGCAATCTTTTTGACATAAAAGAGGAAGATGAGGCACCTTATGTTATTTATAAGGATAAAGATTTTAGGTATATATTAGAGGAGTATAAAATACCAGTGGAACAGGTACACTCAGTTTACTTTAAAGAAAAATTTGTTGGTTAATTTAGTTGCTAATAGTAAGCATATCTTCCTGTTTTATGAAATAGATTTTACATGTTACTATTACTTTACTTCACTTGGTTGTCATTTAATTTACGGAACTTTGCATGAAAATAAACCAATTCATCTCTCTGAGAATTGTTCAACCCAGATAAAGGATAGATTATTAAGTCTCACAGATTAAGTTTAGATTAATGTGAAATTAATGAGAGTTTATTTATTGTTATGCATGTCAGTATGTGATACTTGACTTTGCATTTACTTATTTCTTATTTATTCCTTGAGAAATTTCTATCTTCCAGGTTCATTAAATTAAAATTCACCAAATTAAGTAAAGTAACAGTATAAAGTTGTACATATATCCATGTCTTAAGTTGGTCTAGGAGAGCCTGGATAGTGCGAGAGGAATCTTTGTTCTTCGATGTTCCTGTGTCTTAGTCTCTTCCACTTGTGCAGAAATCACTGACCTGAAAAGAATGCATCCGATATACACACCTGGTGTATTTAACCGTAAGCTGTCATAGACTTACACAATGCTTATTTGAGATTCCTGTATTAAGGTGATTGCGTATAGCGCATACTGCAATTGCACGCCATACATTCACATTAACTATAAATAACATTTCATCATTAAATAGATGTCGTACACGTATAGACTCCTATATTTTCACTATACGTGAACTTGTGAAAATCCATGATAATCGATTTTTTATTTTCAATTGTAATATGAAAGTACATTATCATTGCACTGTCATTATGTTAAGCATGTAATTGTCACTCACTGAAATGTATTATATGTATGTAAATATGATATTTATAATATGATTTTGAAATTTGCATTTTCCTACTTTAGATAGGTTGTCTATTCTTCAGTGCTTTTTTCACAAAACTTACTATGAGAACTGAAATGAAATGAGTTGATCAATATATCCGAATTCAATGTCAGAAGACTAGAAATTAACTAGAACAGAAGTTCATATATTAACTTATCATATTCTGAAGTATAAATTAAAAGACTCACATATAATGAAAAAAGCAACCATCATAAGGCATGGTACAATTAGCCACAATTTTGGGTCTTCATAGTGTGGCATTTCATGGTTGACCTCTGTTGCTGTTGTAGGACTAGATGTTGATACATTTAGACATGTACCTCATGTAAAGAGTTAACTATGTAAATATTTAATGAAAACCAATGAAACTTGTAAATAGTTTTCTTCACAGAAAGCTGTACCATGAATGTTGTATCTAGTCTAGCCAAAATGGTTTACAAAAATATTGAAAATATACAATTAAATCAAAATATTATATATTTTCTTCAGTCTTTATATTTTTAATAAGTTGGTTGTCATTAAAGGATGACAGGTACACTCACCTACAACATCCTTCATCCTGCATAATGCAAGATCCTTGCAACTTTCCATGAAACCTATATCAATTTTAACGCAATTGCATAAGTTGTGACACATACGACTATCCATTTTGGGAGATCAGAAGTAATCAAAACATGTGATGTTCTGACTGGTATGAATAGACAATACCCACCTTATTGGTAAACTTTATACAGTGCAAACATTCAAATTACTTTATAATGGATACACTTAAGTCAATATACCTGTACATATCATCTGAGTTAACTATAGAAACCATAACAACAGTTACAGCATGTAAATATAATGGGAGGGGAGGTATACACGGAGTTTGTTCCGTGATTTCAATCTACAGAAAGACGTTTCCGTCAACTGTGTGAGTGATAATAAGTCACGTGAGAGGGTGCAGGCAGGTAGCAGGCAAGGAGAATGTTAGGACCACGAGACAGGCGTCTTTCCCCATTAGAATCAATGTTTAATATATAGCAAGAGTAGCAGGGAAAAAAAACTTGCCCAAAAAACCTTACACTACTACTTCTATTATGTATCCAGTCTATCTTATTAACATATTCCATGCTTGTATATATATCATACATATATATGAATACATATATAATAATGTATGTATCTATCTAATTTGCATATTCTGTGCTGGCATATAATATAAATACATAGATATATGTGTATACACATGCATATATGAATCTATCTAATTTGCATATTCTATGCTGGTTTACATGGCCCATAAGCCATTTTTTGTTGGATATATTGATCACCTTTTGTCAAATTACAAAAAATATCAAATTACAAAAATATGTGTCCATTGTTTTTTTCAGTGCTGGCGTGTGCTATTCACCATCTGAAATGGAGGAGAAATATTTTGATTGGCCAGTTTTTTGAAAAAAAGGTAAAATTCAATGTATGTAATTGTGCTAAATGCGGTGAACGCCAGAAAATTTATTTCAGAGACGAGTGTGTTGATTGTTTCTGTACATGGCTCTTCACTCCTAATCATGAAGGCTACTTGACAATAGCTCACAATTTTAGGTAAGTGTTGTACATTCCACACTTTTAGAATGTTTCACTCACGATGTTCTCAACAATCATGTTATGAATAGTGTGAATAATTTTACAATAGTTTTTTATATGAATGTCGTTGTTTATGATCGTGTTATATTTGGAATTGATAGTCAAAAAGATGCTCATTTTCTTTACAGAGGATACGATTTATATTTCATCCATGAGTGGTTATTTAACAGAAAGGAAACGGCATATTGTCACTACAAACCGCCACAGGTTCTACGTCAAGGTTCACGGATCATAGTGCTAAAGGACCCATCCACGGGCGTAGAGTTCAGGGATACGCTGAATTACATTCAACTCAAATTAGCTGACTTTCCAAAGTGTTTTGGTCTCCAGGCCAAAGGTTAGCAAAAGACAAAATAACACATAATATGTACAAAAAATGTTACTTCTTAGTACTCATAAACACTAGAAAAAAGCTGTTGATGTTAATAAGTATAATTTTTTCTATTTTAATAGGAGAGTTTCCCCATCTCTCCCACATAGCCAGAAACAAAATTAGAACTACCATGAAGGAAAATTGCCACCTTTGAAGTTCTACGACCCAGACAGTATGATGCCTGATAAGAAAAAAAGCTACCAATAGCTTGTGGGATTTCAAAACAGAACTGGGTAAGTTACAAAACTGAATAAATGCTCTAATACATTAGACATATCGATTATAAACGCACAACATAATATTCAAAGAATAATCAACCTATTTGTTAAATTTCAGAGAAATACTGTATCTCTGATGTGACAGTCCTACGACTTGGAGCACTTCGTTTTGTCGAAGAATTCACTCTGAGCACTGGATTGAATCCCTTTCTTATAAGCAACACTATAGCCAGTTCCTTGAGTAAAGTTTACAGAGCGCTTTACATGCCACCAAAGTCCATTGCAGTCATACCACCAAAAGGTAACAATTACAATAGTATGTGCTCACTACATTTATAAATTTTCTTTTAAAAATTGTACCTTTTTCTTTGTTTTTTCTATATGTTATTATTTGATTTCAGGTTATCAAGGTCGTACTGCATTCTCCAAGGAAATGGTTCAATACGCCATGTGGATACGTGAACGTAACTACTATAGGTGCGCATCCACCCCCACAAAGGGTTTAATCGGGCAAAATAAGTAAGGGGATTAAATCACCGGGTCATGTAGAAGTTCCCGTGAGACAATCGATTCTACGTCGACCGTTTATAGTCGAAATACTCCAAACTACTTTTCAACATTGGGCGGTCGAATTAACGAATTGACCACCCATGGAAAAGACAAGGAATCTACGACCGACCGTGCGATCACGTATGTGACTGCATTTTCGGAAATGCTTAGCACTCAAATATGGCAGGCTAACTCTACTATAATTTTCACAGACTCGACGACAGTTTCGTACATATCGGACCCCCATATATTCGTCATTATAGGATCCGTTATTGGTTCTATTTGCGTTGTGTGTGTTATATTACTGGGCATATTTAGGCACAAAATATGCGGCGCTCTGTGCCCTGATAGGAACATAGTCGTTTAAGACATGGACATCGAAATGGGACCCATGCCTGGCATGCAGAACTAATAGATTTCCTTGATTGAAGGCAGAATCAGATTTCGTATTTTATAAAGAATTTTTATTACCTTTATATTAAACAACTGACTGTTTCCTATTATGCTTTATTCAAATACTTTATTTTAAAATCAAGAGAAATTGTAAGAGTATGTTCATCTTTTAGGAGTTGGGCATAAACCGATTAAAACGTAAGCCTGATGGCATGTTATGGTCAGCGACCATGAATGACCACTTACATTAATAATCTGCCTCACGGCAAATTGGGAGATGGCATATTTCAATTCAAAAATAACAACTTGTCAGTATATATTCATTCAAAAATAACAACTTGTCACGATCACTTCCTGTGAGCCGGTGTTAATCGGTTTTGCTTCATAGTAACGCTGTAATTTACGTTTATTTCACCTGAGAGAACAAAGAAAGAACATCTGAAATATAAATTCTAAATACACATATGCATTCAGATTCTAACATTTAAACAAGATGGGTATGTTGCGAAGCGCTTTGTGTTTCTTGTGTGAAACATTTGTCATGTTCTTAAATGGGAGGCAGCTAGAATGTGGACATTTTGTGTGTGGAAACTGCGAACATTGGCTACTACATCATGAAGACTCCCCGTTCTACGGAGAACCGTGGGTAGCAGACTGTGTACAATGTCGAGAACAGCTAAAGGAGGACGAGAACATGTGTCCTGAATGTTTGTGTCATGTGGACTACAAAGGACAAGAGCACAAATGTCCATGCTGTTCTATATGCACTACGAAAGAAACAGAAAACGACCAACACGAATGCCCGACCGTATAATTCAACCGAACAAACCACGGCCCTTTTTAGGGCCACACTACTCTCTCGAAAGAGAAATTAATTTATGAATGATAATTGAAAATACTTCGTTCTGGTTATATTTTATTATAAATATGAGCAAGGTCACAGGAAAGGGGGTCTTATCACAGATTTTTCTTTTTTCAATATTTTGATTTTTTAGTTCATCTTACAAATCACATGGAGACCTTTTAAATGAGCCATGGCTTATCACTTGACAATTTTCCCTTGCAGATATAAAGCTAAAAAAAGATGAATTTGAATTTAGCTATTTTTTCACTAAATTTTAGGACTATTAGATAAAACCACATCTCTCAGTGTTAAACTGTAAGTGAGAATTTAGTTAAAAATTAATGAGTTATATTGTGAAGGACTCTCTCCCCCCCACCCCCCCATCCCAATTGCCCCTACCCTTAATTGGTTACATTGATGAAATTACCTGAAGTTGTCGTTATATAATCAATGACACAGCTTTCAGCAATAATCTCAAGCGACTCTGACTGAATAATGTTTTCGCATTCCTCTATTTGTATACAACTCGCGATAATTCCTCCATCGGAATAATATGTACAGTCACAAGAGGCACACGATTGATTGTTGCATATGCATTTTTCTGTCATTACCGCTATCATGAACAATGAATTCAAGACAATCGTAAACACTACATTTTTCATTTTATTTTGTCTTTCTCGGACTTCTGATACTGCGTTGATCTACTAATGTGTACTGATTTCATATTTCAGCAAAACTGAATAAATGCTCGAATACATTAGACGTATCGATTATAAACGCACAACATAATATTCAAAGAATAATCAACCTATTGTTAAATTTCAAAGAAATACTGTATCTCTGAGAGTCCTACGACTTGGAGCACTTCGTTTTGTCGAAGAATTCACTCTGAGCACTGGATTGAATCCCTTTCTTATAAGCAACACTATAGCCAGTTCCTTGAGTAAAGTTTACAGAGCGCTTTACATGCCACCAAAGTCCATTGCAGTCATACCACCAAAAGGTAACAATTACAATAGTATGTGCTCACTACATTTATAAATTTTCTTTTAAAAATTGTACCTTTTTCTTTGTTTTTTCTATAGGTTATTATTTGAGTTCAGGTTATCAAGATCGTACTGCATTCTCCAAGGAAATGGTTCAATACGCCATGTGGATATGTGAATGTAATGGTATTCAATTCCAATTCAGTTTAAACGGTGGCGAAGTGTCATGCGGTCCGTATCATATCGATTTGGTACAATTAGATCAAAATGGAGGCTTACCCAAAAATGCAGTAGAATACGCTGGGGTAAGGCATAAACTCATTTATCAACAAAAGTTACATATGCATATCGTAACATATATATTGTTCATGATAATATCGCCGTTATTATCTTTTATTTGTAGTGTGTCTTGCATGGTTGTCCTAAATGTTACGCCGACAGAGATTTGGATTTTCATGGCTTTACAATGGATGACAGACATCGAGATTTTCTCAGTAAAATTTGGTATTGTTAAACATTAACTGGTTCACCTGTTTTTCATATTGATGTTTATCTCTACTATAATGTTTTAGTGTCATATTGATTGATAAATTGACTAGTTGATTCATTGACCGATCGGGTGATCTCATTGATGTTCTTTTCAGCTTTCTACGTGAACAGGGATACAAAGTTTTAGCCCACTATGGCCAACCTGAGCTCTCCTGGAAATATGAATATAAAGCAAAAGTGAATATTTTTAATGTCTTGATAAGTAATACGCATTATGCGTACATACATTTTTATACTTATTTTTGGAAGTGTATGTCATAACGTTCGTACTGGTTACCAAATCCCGCCGACAATTGTTATCCAGTATATGTTGCGTGGATCCATGTCAGAGGGCAATAATAAGCGTAAAAGTGACATTCACCGTGATAGGTTTCAGATCAAATGGACTCCCTATAGTTGAGAGACTAACTGATGTACTAAGATTAGAACATCGACCTTTATTAAAATGTATGTTGACATTCCTAACGAAACCCAATCGCAAATGGTGTACACCTAGCATTTGGTAAAAGCATAATTACCGCTCAACATTGGAGCGCAATGAGAGCAAGGTTGATTGGAGAACAAATGGCAATTCCTGTAAGGGTATTTGTGGATGAGTTCCTAACCTTTGTAAAAATGGCGATTGAGGAAATCAAGACTTTAGAAAGCAGGATGTGCCAGAGAAAAAAGGTGCAATAAAGACCATTAATTATCGAATCTCCGTCTCCCATGGCCAAAAGAAAAGATCAAGGCCTCGTTTGAGGTGTGCTGCAACGGGCGCACCAAGCTGTCAGAAGAATCTCTCTAAAACACTCAACAAAACGGTAAATGATATGGTGAGATTAATGTATTTTACATTTTATCATTAAAAAAAGTATGTGTTTTAATATTTTATTTGCAATATTATGATCAAAATTAATTATGCATGTTTTAAAATTTTGGTATAAATAATACATTACAGCAATAAAGAAAACAGCCCCAAACTCCCATTAACCCCAAACCCCAGGAGAGGAAATGGACAGTGTCTCCTGATCTACTACAGAATAATAGAAAAATCAAAATATTGGAAGATGGAAGAATATGGTAGTAAGGGTAACTACGGAGGACAGAAAATTCTTCTTATCAGAGTTATCTCTTAGAAATATATGTTCCGAAATAGAAAAATTAAAGAAACTGTCAAAAGCAAAGGGGCAACTTCAGGGAAGGGGTTCAGGGGTAAGCCTGGCCATTGGTAAAAGCGTAGTTACCGCTCAACATTGGAGCGCAATGAGAGCAAGGGTGATTGGGGATCAAATGGCAATTCCCGTAAGGGTATTTGTGGATGAGTTTGTATTGTTTTACCTTTGTAAAAATGGCGATTGAGGAAATCGCAGACTAATTTAGAAAGCAGGATGCCCCAGAGAAAAAGGGTGCAATAAAGACCGTTAAATATCGAATCTCCATCTCCCATGGCCAAAAAGTAAAGATCAAGGCCTCCTTTGAGGTGTGCTGCAGCGGGCGCACCAAGCTGTCAGAAGAATCTCTCGAAAACACTCAACAAAACGGTAAATGAATTGGTGAAATTCATCTATTTTACATTTTATCATTAAAAAACAAATATGTGTTTTAAATAAAAAAAATATGAAATTTTATGACTTGTTTTCTTTTCAGAAATGTAAGTGTATACATTTTTTACTTTTATATCTTCACTGATCCTTCTCAAATCACGCTCAAATTGACGAATATAGAAATTGCACATTTTTAATTAAGTTCACATTTGCTTAAATAATTGTCAAATAAATGATTTATATATATTTTTACCGATGTTTTTACCAAATGTTGTTTTTGAAAATAATTGTATGTGTATTAAAACTTACATGTTACAAATGAAATAAAATATGTCCTTTTAATGGGTTGTTTGTTTTGTTTTACAGGCATCGTGTCACGTAAACAAGGAAAAGTGGATATCGGACGACGAGACATCAATATCCGATGATGCTTTTGAGGTTGGTATAAAAATTCAACAATTACTTATTTTTACCGGTGTTATTCAATTTGTTTAGAAAATGCAAAATGTTTTTTTGTGAAAAATAATTGTATGTGTGTTAAAACTTACATGTTACAAATGAAATAAAATACATTCTTTTACATCCGTTGTTTGTTTTTACAGGCATCGAGTGTACATTGTCACATAAACAAGAAAAGGTGGATGTCTGACGACGAGACATCAATATCTGATGATGCTTAGGTTGGTATAAACATTCAATAGTTGCTAATTTAATAAAAGTTGAAAAAATGATTATTTGGTATGTTAATTTTAGAATAATATGTTTTCATTCCGATATTATTTTTTGACATCCCATGATAAGTTTTATGTTTATACAAAATACAAATACATTTGCTTAGTATTCTGCTTTAGCTTGTTGTTTAATTTTATGTTTTAATTATTTTATTAAAAAATATCACAATGCATTTAAAATAAAAAAAGTATTCACTTAAATAAAATAATTTCTTTTGAGGTTGATTTTCCAAACATCAGTGGCATCGAGGAAATATCCCTAACACCGCCAGGGAATGATAATGAAAAGAAGGATAACACAAAGAACAGGGAACAACCAGCCTAAGCCTCCCAAGGACCATCCAAAGTGTCGACGAATAAGCCTGGGGCAAATCGAGAATTGCCTGACCCTTCATTCACTAAAACTGATGCCCAGATGACCCAACCGTCCGCCCAAAGATCCCAAGGACTGTCCAAAGTGTCGACGAACAAGCCTGGGGCAAATCGAGAATTGCTCGGCCCTTCATTCTGTAAAACTGATGCCCAGATGACCCAACTGTCTGCCCAAAGATCCCAAGGACTGTCCAGAGTGTCGACGAACAAGCCTGGGGCAAATCGAGAATTGCCTGGCCCTTCATTCTCTAAAACCGATGCCCAGATGACCCAACCGTCCGCCCAAAGATCCCAAGGACCGTCCAGAGTGTCGACGAACAAGCCTGGGGCAAATCGAGAATTGCCCGGCCCGTTAAAGAATACATATGTAAAGATTTAAGCAATTTTGGTTTATATGTTAGTTAGTTAGTTACCCTGTAAGTTACCCTGTAAGTTAATGTAATGATTTTAATAATTTCTTATTAAATAAACTGACCTTAACTGAAAAAAACCTCTACAATAGTTTTCAGATCGTAAACAATTTTTTGAATGCTCAAATTGCCCAACACAGTTAAAATCATATTAAAACAATACATTTTTTTGAAAACAATTTGGTAAGATAATAATTATAAAGTTTAAGTAGTTTAAACTTTAATTGGGACCCTTAAAGAAATATTTAGAAGAATTGCATAATGGATTTATGTGCCAAGCGGGTATATATTGGGCCTACGATCTTTTGTGGCCTTTAATTCAATCATGACCGTGTATTTGTTTGTGACTGTAAACAAGGAAGGGAATATGGAGTTTGCAGAAGATGATCTCTACTGGGAAGTGAAAACAAAGTATAAACAACTAAATATCCCGATCGAAGTAAAAAAGTGTGTCAGGGACACAGACACATTTCTTTGTCATAGCAACTATTTTGAATTCTATAGTCGGTTTCCGCATACCTCAATAGGAATTTATGAATCTAAGTCAAATTTATACAAAACTAATTTTTGTTGGATATATTGATCACATTTTCGTCAAATTACAAAAATATGTGTTTATTGTTTTTTCAGTGCCGGCGTGTGCTATTCACCATCTGAAATGGAGGAGAAATATTTTGATTGGCCATTATTTTCATGAGTAAAGAAGTGTGTCAGCGACACCGACACATTTCTCTATCACAGCAACTTCTTTCAATTCTACAGTCGGTTTCCTCATACCTCAATAGGAATTTATGAATCGTAAGTCAAATTTATTCAAAACTAATTTTTTGTTGGATATAATGATCACATTTTCCTCAAATTACAAAAATATTTGGACTTACAACCTTTTGCGGCCTTTAATTCAATCATGACCATGTATTTGTTTGTCATTGTAAACAAGGAAGGGAATATGGAGTTTGCAGAAGATGATCTCTACTGGGAAGTGAGAACAAAGTATAAACAAATATTTAGAAGAATTGCATAATGTATTTATGTGCCAAGCGGGTATATATTGGGCTTATGACCTTTTGCGGCCTTTAATTCAATCATGACTGTGTATTTGTCTGTGACTGTAAACAAGGAAGGGAATATGGAGTTTGCAGAAGATGATCTCTACTGGGAAGTGAGAACAAAGTATAAACAAATATGTAGAAGAATTGCATAATGGATTTATGTGCCAAGCGGCTATATATTGGGCTTAGGACCTTTTGCGGCCTTTAATTCAATCATGACCGTGTATTTGTTTGTCATTGTAAACAAGGAAGGGAATATGGAGTTTCCAGTAGATGATTTCTACTGGGAAGTGAGAACAAAGTATGAACAATTAAATATCCCGATCGAAGTAAAAGTGTCGGGGACACCGACACATTTCTTTGTCAAAGCAACTATTTTGAATTTTATAGACGGTTTCCACATACCTCAATGGGAATTTATGAATCGTAAGTAAGTTATAAATCGTAAAACTCCCCATAACCCCTAACCCCAGGAGAGGAAATGAACAGCCCTCCTGATCTACTACAGAATAACAGAAAAATCAAAATACTATAAGACGGAAGAATACAGTCAATAGTAATGTAATTATCACTGACAGTTTTTCATCAGAAATTTAGGATTTAATAGGGAAATTAAAATAATAGAATATGAAAGAATAAACAGTTGTAAATAATAGTGTATTTTTAAATTCATGCTATTTATTCATTATTGTTAAATTAAAATAAAATAAAACTTCCAGCCCTATGAGTGGCTTGTAGACAGATATCCTAGAGAAATATGTATCAACAGTGTTATTTCTGACCATACAATCATCAATCTAGTAGTCATGTCATGATACAAAAATATTTGTTAATTAAAGAGTGAGTAGTTTTTCATCCACGAAATAATTTCTTCATCTCGATATCATCTATGCAATCATGACACCCTCAGTAGACTTACTAAAATTGCTCTGTTTTATGCAAATATATAAATGTTATCATCATGTAAGGAGCTGGTTAACCATAAACAGTTGTTTAAAACTCTCAAATTGACAGTTTCAGAGACATTCAGA